TCCCAAGTTAATATTTTTGAATGACTCCGAACTTTGGTTATGAGAGGCCCTTTGACAGGTTTTTCCTGCCTCTTCCCGATCCACTGTGACCCGCACTGACGGGTGATTATTCACCGTAGGACTTTTGCTGGTCTGGCGTATTTATCTGCCCGGCCAGACCCCTCGTACTATGTAGTTATCTATCAACCTGCCAGCACCCTGACATGGGAAACTCGTCACTTGTTCCCCAGAGACAATGGAGGCATCCACGCGGAGGGTGTAGCTATTGTTTTGCAACTATGTTAAACTGCGAGTGAGCTCAGTAAAAGTCCCACTGCGAAGATCCCGTATTCCCAATACCCATTTCCGATATCCAATATTCAGTTGCAATAAAGGACTGCACGTGATGTCAACGTGCAACCTTTTGAACAATGCAATCCAGACCGGAATCGGGCAATCGAGCACCCAATCCGATATTGGTAATGATGACTGGCCGATAAGCCACCTGTGACGTGTGAAGACTTGAGCTATTTATGGTTTCATTCCAGCCACTGGAGATATACAATATATATTTAGCACGACGTTTTCATTCGGAACCGGTTAGAGCCGGAATCTATATTGCATTTCCAGTCGATTGCCCTGATGGATGTATTTCACTCCATTTAGAAGGATTCGCAATTACAACAAGAAACTATGCAAAGTGCAATCAGCTCAGGCCAGCACGAAGAACTTTTCGCCAATTAATTTGCGAGCTCCACAAAGCAGAAAAAATTGCGTATCATTTTGGGTGGGAATGGGTAGTAATATAGCAGGCAATAGGGGTTTTCCAGCTGCAGCTACTCGTTTTGCCGTAATTAAACGTGTGAAGCGACGCAGGATGACCACGCACACAAAACGCAACGAAGACAAATGGCCTGGGGAAAATATAAAATGCGAAAAAAATAATGGAGAGCCAGCTTAAAGTTCGAGCAGCCGCAGGAAGATTCAGTTTCCCTCATTCGAGAATGTACATTTGAATCTGAGCCAGCAGATGGAGAACGTGTTTGCTACAAGTTCAAAGCTATCGGCAACTTATCTCAACTTTTAGCAAGGGCATGCATGAAGGGTCCTTGGCGGTCCTTCCCTCCTTATCACCGCCGTCATTTTTCAGCACCCCCTCTCAGATAGCATCTTGTAATAGAAACGCACTTTATCTCCTGCCAACCAGCTCAAATAGCAATCACACTGAGGATTTAAAGTTTTTATAAATAGTTATTTTCAAACTCATAATTATAGTGTAGGAATTATGTTGTCAAACTCTTTCTAAAATATGTTAAGGGGTCTCATTGTCGATTAATGATCAATTTTAGAAATTGTTCATATTTTGTATTGTTTTTACAGGATAACAAATGTTGTTGTTGAAATACATTTTATGCAAATATAAATAATAGTTGTCTTAAATAATATTTAGATTTCTAAAAAAACAAATTATATCATGTCTTATATAGAAATTTGTATAACAGTAAACTTAACCGAATTTTTCCTCAGTGCAAAAGAGTGAACAAGGGGAAAGCGCAAGTGTGCACTGCAGTTGCAGCGAGCTGGAAACACTTTTCTGGCTGTTATTCCGCTGGCAAGGCCAAGAATGTGGCCAATTCGATGGCGACATGGTAATAAACTTAATGCCAACTGATTTTGACAGCCCTGCACTAACATTTAGGATGGGGAAAGCAGCTGGGATTAGGCAGAGCAAGGCCTTGGGAAAACTCAACCCGAACCATCCCCTTTCATGAGCCTGACAAATGCGCGAAAAGTTTGAACACTTGTTTGGGAGATTGCGAACCTCGGGGCGTATGAGTTATGTTATGCGAAGTGCCCAAGGAGCGGGTCTGCCTTGAACTGGAGCACTGCTTCCTCTGGCCACTTAAATCCGCTATAGATTCCGATTCCCAGTCACGTACGCCCACCAACCAGGCATTCCATAAACTTGTCCTAGAGACCGATTCAAATTATGAACGCGTTAGAGCTTCGGTCGCAGCTCGTGATTGAGCTATGGCTTGTCATTCGCAGCGTGTCATAATGAATTCACAAAATAAATTCAAACAAATCATAGGTACACCGAAAACAATGTAATTATCTTTTGAGTTTGTATGTTTGAATCTACCTGATTTTCTTTGCTGTGCTTTAAATATAGTTCGATTTAATCTGAAGAGATAGACATGTTTTAAATGCTTTAAACATACAAATATAAACCTTTAGTTTTGTTTTACATAAGAAAACTAAGAGAATTGTCTAGATATTCCCAATTATTTGTTCATAGAAAGATACATTGTATTAAAACCTTACCTTAAGGACGAAAAATTGGGATTTTGTCTTTTCAAACATTGTGAAAGAAATCTAAATTCAAAAAATTATCTTTTGAATGCCGTAAGATTCCCAAATCTCTACAAATTTCTGAAACACCTGGCTAATTTTTTTCTGTGCACCGATTGAGTTGCGAGGTGTCAGGTGCACTGACCTGAAGCCTGTCTTTGAGGGCGGCTTTTTGCCATTGAATTCACGCAGTCCACGGCCACGATCGCTAATTGCGTTTGCCAAATTAATTAAATCGGTCAATCGTAGTGCCATTTGTTGATTGAGTTTTTAACTGAAACGGGAATAGAATGGGAATGGAAGTGTTGGAGGTGGAGGTATGCAAATGTCGCTGCCTGTTGCTGCCCCTCGCGATTGAATTAATTAGGCAAAAGGCAATTAAGCGAATCGACCAGCTCCGAATGTCGACCCGCGACTCAGCACGCAAACGGGGTCCGCCGGGAGTTGTGGTTCTCCTCCACTGACCCCTGACCTCTGACCTCCTCTCCGGCGGAGTGGCAGCATAAATTCCATAGCCAATAAGTTGGGCAATAAGTGGGTGTCTGCCATAAGGGCTGGCTAAATAACGGCGTTAATTCGACAAGCCCTTTCTCCGGGTTTTAGTGCCCGACTCTAAGTGCTCTCCGTTGATGAAGTACAATAACCACCTCCATGCACAAGCCATCGTTCGCTTTCACTTTCCACTTTTCCACTTTTCCGCTTTTCAGTTGATGAATCGCAAGGTGGGAAAGGGCGGCCAATTAAATGGAAAACGTTTTCATGTCCCGCGAATTGTTGTCGTGGCTCTTGATGGATGCACTCTCGCCGCCAAAACACTCGATGGAGCAGTCAGCCCTCCCTTTTTCATTATTTCTCCACCGGATTTTTTGCTTCTGAGTGACGGCTTCCGGTTGGTAACCGCGTGAATTAAGCCAACCGTTCAGACGCTTTTTGATATCGCACCACGACTTCCTGCAGGACAAATCCCAGAACCTCTTTCAGCCTCATCACTCCGCGCTCGAGTTGCGGTAAACAAGGGAAATCCTCCCGGAGATATAGAAAGTGCACTCAAAAAAATCACCCTATAAGAAAGGAATAATTATAAAAAAATGTGGGTTGTTCGTTTTGGAATTGTTTTTCTTATTGCAAGAAATTGATCTCTAAAATATTTATATTTAATTATGGCAATGATTTATGCCTTTGATGATGACAAATCCAAATGTTGATATATTTTTAACAAACATAAATCTAATGAAATTGTTCTGAATTGTTTAATTGTGCAGTCTGCTATTACACATTGAATTTTCTTTTTATACCCTTGCAGAGGGTATTATAATTTTGGTCAAAAGTGTGCAACGCAGTGAAGGAGACATCTCCGACCCTATAAAGTATATATATTCTTGATCATGATCACCTCCTGAGTTGATATAGCCATGTCCGTCTGTCCGTCTGTCCGTCTGTCCTTTTGTCTGTCCGTCTGTCTGTCCGTCTGTCTGTCCGTCTGTCTGTTTCTACGCAAACTAGTCTCTCAGTTTTAAAGCTATCGAATTGAAACTTTGCACACACCCTTCTTTTTTGCACGCAGTATATATGTCAGAACGGCCGGGTCGACTATATCCTATAGCTGCCATATAACTGATTGATCGGAAATGCCATAACTTTGGTGTTTGTAAAGTTAGGAAGCTGGGATTTCCTATGGGTTTTATTATTGGCCAATCAATCCGACCTATTAAATTTCATAAGGATCGGCCGACTATATCCTATAGCTGCCATATAACTGATTGATCGGAAATGCCAAAACTTTGGTTTTTGTAAAGTTAGGAAGTTGGGAATTTCTATGGGTTTTATATTTGGCCAATCAATCCGACCTACCAAATGTCATAAGGATCGGCCGACTATATCCTATAGCTGCCATATAACTGAACAATTGGAAATGCCATAACTTTGGTGTTTTTAAAGTTAGGAAGTTGGGATTTTCTATGAGTATTAAGAATGCATCATATGAATAATTTTGGAGAATAAATTTTTACAGAGTATTCTGCAAGGGTATATCAACTTCGGCTCCGCCCGAAGTTAGCTTTCCTTTCTTGTTTATTACATTTTTATTACAAATACATTTTTGTATATATATTTTTTTCCAAATGTATTATGCTCTTTTATTTATGGGACGTCTGTTTCTGTTTTGTTCTAGTTGTTCCGTTCTTTTTTATACATTTTTATTATGTTCTGGAGCACCCCGTTCGATTGTCTGGCAATTGATTTTGTTGCTGGTCGGGACTTGTTTGCTTTTCGAGCTTTGTATTTGCTGCACACGAATCAGATAGCTGTGTGTACTCTCAGAGTTGTGGGTACAGATACCCCATAAACCACTATTATTATAAAAGCCATGGAAGTTTCAACATTTTTCAATGTAATCCTTGAGCATACTTCAAGAGAGTTCTGAAATTGATGGCCTCTGGCGAATAATAGACTCGAGTACTATCTGATTATCAAGAGTATTTCATAGTTGGGGTGACGGCCTTTTTTCCTTTTGTTGCTTTGTTGTTGCTCGCCGCACACGTTATCGGTATCGACATATATTTTTGGCAAATATTTATCAATTTATTGCACTAAAAAATTGCTACAATTAAGTTGATGCCTGTGTGTAACAAACGTGCCGAACGATGATTAAGTTTTCCTTTTTTTTCCAGCTAAATACAGTACGTCGACAGCAGAAAAACAAATACATCAACTGGAAGGAAAAAGAAAAGAGAAAGCAAACGGCAAAGCAAAAGTAAAAGCGAAAGCGAAGCAGAAAAAGGAGCAGTCGCAGGGCGGCGGGCATGGCGTATACGCAATGCGCAGCATGTGCTATTACTATCGCTGCTACTGCCACGGCCACCTCGAGTCAATTAAGGAATTCACACGCCAGCGGGCACTGTAATTGAAACCCACACCTTGTTCACCCTGCATTGGCTTGGTACTAGCCTTAAATACTCGATCGGGAAAGGGGAATCCCCACGAACACCCTCCAAAATGTCCGCCTTCCGCTATTATTCGATCACGGACTTCTCCTTCGAAGGACCCCTGCTTCCGCTGCACGAGGCCGCCGCGAGTAAGGATGCCAAGGACAGTCCCAGTTCGGAGCTGAACATACCCTATACCGTCTTCGAGGTCTTTATTTAGTTTTCCTACCTTTAAACGGAAAATATTAACTTAATTTGTATGTATTTTGATAAGGTCCTGGTTGCCATCGTGAGCATCATCGGCAACGTCCTCGTGATCATCGTCTTCCGCCGGGAACGAAAGCTGCGCCGCCGCACCAACTACTATATAGTATCGCTGGCCATGGCCGATCTGCTGGTGGGCAGCTTGGGCATACCCTTCGCCATCCTGGCCTCCATTGGACTACCGCGAAATCTTCACGCCTGCCTCTTCACCGTCTCTCTGCTAGTGGTTCTATGCACCATCTCCATATTCTGCCTGGTGGCCGTCTCCGTGGATCGCTACTGGGCCATCCTTTATCCAATGGCCTACTCTAGAAATGTCCGCACCCGTACAGCAATATGTAAGTATTTTTGGAGGGAATAGGTAGGGAAGGTATGGAAACTCGCTTCTGTAAATGAGAAATAAAATTCCGATATACTTGTACTGCTGGTGCATATGTAAGAAAAAGGATTAATGTTTCTAATATTAGTGTTAAAATAAAAACCCATAAATGTAAAAGGAAGCTTTAATAGATGCTAGCCCTTTCTCTAAAATCCTTTAAAAAAGACCCCTTGAAAAGACACCTCTTTGCCAGGATATTGTCAAACCATTCTTGCCTTTGTGGTGGCCTTTGTTTAGTATTGCGCCTTTGTTGCTGGGATGCTAATGACTCTGGATGGCTAATATACGCCACATTGTTCTTCTTTCCTGCCATCGACCATGTTTGAGTTGTGGCTTGGCTAAGACAAAGGGCTGCCCATCCGGACTGCAATTGAACAGATGCCAGAGGAACAGTACATAATAATGAACGTTAACTAATAATCCCAAACTGAAATAAATTAGACTTCGATGGACGATCTTTTATTCTAAAGGAATTTTAAATAAAACTAAATACACATAACAGATTTTTCAAATAACACTTTACAGAATTTATATTAGCAATACAGCCAGAGAATTTCCATTTCAGTGATTTTCAAGGGCTGTCTGGAAACAGAAAATAATCTCCTTAAGCTAATAATAAATAATTTTGATTGCTTTTATTCTTAGAACTATAGGAGCTAAGCAAAACACAATAACCCTTAACGATAATGCACTATTGCATTGTATTCTTCTATACAAATAAAACAACAAATCAATATAGTTTTTTGAGTTGAATGGCATGTTCAACAGACGAGTGACTAAGAAGCACATTATTTGCGTCATTTAGTCAGCAATCACCCTATCCTTCAATCCAGTGTCCCGAAGTTCGATAAAAGTTAATATAAGGCAAGGCCACGCATTTGTCTCTCGGGAATGACTGCAATCTTCTCATGTGACGTCTGGGGAAGCTCCACTTGAAGGGCTTCGGTTCATGACCCTCTTTTTCAAACCCTTGTCCATCTTCCCTTGCAGTCATCATCTCGATGTGCTGGGTGGCCGGGACAATAGTGGGCTTCCTGCCCCTTTTTGGCTGGCACGCGGACGTGCACCACAACCAGGAGTGCCTCTTCGTTGAGGTAATGGACTACAACTACCTCGTCTTCCTCTACTTTGCCACTATAATCACTCCGGCTCTGCTGATGCTGGCCTTCTACACGCACATCTATCGCGTCATTATCAAACAGGTAAGTGGAGTGAATCCTTTAAAGAAACTGGGAAATATCAAAAAGTAGATTGTACTCTAATTCCCTATCTAACTGCACTAGTATTTTAATTACCGGCAATGATTTTAAGACTCTTTTTATCTGTTTTATAAACTTTCTAATTTATAGGTCCGTCAGATCGTTACGATGAACCCCGCCTCCGATCTCAGTCGTCGCTCCTCGGCGGCAGTGGTGCAGATAACCACGCCCGGAAGGAGCGGACATACGGGAACAATGTTGCGGGTTTTGGGTGCCGCCAGGAAGCGGGACGTCAAGGCCACCCAGAATCTGTCCATCATAGTGCTGTTCTTCATGATCTGCTGGATACCGCTGTACACGATCAACTGCATCAAGGCCTTCTGTCCCAGCTGCTATGTGCATCCCAAGCTCACCCTATTCTGCATCATTCTTTCGCATCTGAACTCGGCCGTGAACCCGGTGCTGTATGCGTATCACCTGAAGGACTTTCGGGCAGCCTTGAAGAACTTACTGCTGAAGATGATGGGCGTGGACATTGATCAGCAGGCGGAGGCCATTCATCGATTCTCGGTGGCCAGTCAGCATCGCCTCCAGTCCATGGACTCCAATATGCGCTCCACGCAGCCGCGCCTCTATGTGGGTGAGTGTGAGTGCGCGTTGTCTTCTGGGATCCTTGGAAAAACCCCTTTAACTCCGATTCCTCCCGCCTGTAGATTCACCCATCTGGCTGAGGCAGCAGCAGGAGGCCCTGAAGAACTCCCAACTTTTGCCCAAGTGTGGAGTGGTGTCTCCCTGTTTCAACAACATCAATCAAACGGTGGCCGCAGTGGCTTCAGTTACCACGGAGATCGAGCGGGAAATGTGGAACATAGTGGAGGCCTCCAGTGGCGCGGAGTTGGGTGAGACCAGCTATGAGTTCCCCTCCCCAGCTCCGGCTTCCCAGCGCAGCAGTGAGCGGAACAGCAGCTCCACGGTGCCACCTGCTCCTCCTGCCCATCCTGCTCAGCCTGTCAAGCCCTCACTTCCGTCCTCCTCCTATGACAACCACAACTTCAGTTTTAGCCAGGATGAAGATGACGAGGATGACGATCTGGAGTTCGAAGATGTCTTCGTGCCACCCAGCTCAGTGCCCAATCCCGCACAGCCTGGCATAGATCCTGCAGAGCTTCGTCGCTCTTTGGCTCTGGTCATGAGGGAGAAGCTGCGATCGGATGACACCGACTCCAGGCCAATGGGCAACATTCAGGAGATTCCTGTGGATGGGGAGTCCAGGGATAGACCTCTGTCTATTCAAACATCGCCCACAAATGGTCCACTTCCAGCGCTTCTGAGGGCCAAGCTATTTGCTGGGAATTCCAATAGTGCGCACTGCCTGCCAGGATCCACTGCAAGTCCTGCTGCTCCCAAGGAATCCGGTGTCTTTGTGATCGACAGTGAGGCGAGTCCCGGCTCCAATGGACACAAGCCCAAGTACCGAAAGGGCACGGCTTTGACCAGGAGCTCTCTAAAGAAGAGCAGATCCTGCAACTGTAGTTCCCTAGCCAAAGGATCCAAAGGCGCTCACGAGGAGCACAGCAGCAATCTCAGCAGGGAACAGCAGGATCAGCAGGAGGTGCAGCAACCAAAAAACCAACCCACAGAGAACTTCTTCAGTCCTTTGAGATCGGTGGGCAGCTTCATGCAGCATTCCAACCTGTTCCACTTCCTCCAGCCTCATCCCGTCCGTCCCACCTCATCGACGGCCTCGTCCTCGGCCTCCACGCCAACCCCCTCGCCACCGCCCATGGTCCAGGAGGAATCAATTCCAGTGGGTCTGACCACTTCCTCGCCATCTCTTCTGGCGGCCAGTGCGGAAAGTTGACCTTCTTCGGTGGAGGAGGAGCAAGTTCCGCCGGAGGATCCGCAAGAAAAGGATCACAAGGTCGAGGAAGGGGCACAAGGTGACCCCTAAGGAAATACTCGCAAGTCAAAGCTTTTACATTAAGTACTTCCCAGCTCTCATTAGCACTCTATCTCAAGCTCTTTGACTTAGTAAAACGTTGTCAAATTCTATCGGATCTAGATCAATTAGTTGGGTAGTGACAGATACATATAGAGATTAGGAGCTACGCGCATTTATTTTGAGTGTCTGGTCAAATACGTTTCTATGGAGTAGTTAATTATGTACATATGTTAAATGTTGTTAGAGTATATTTATGTGTATATGTCTGCTTATGTATACCTGAACGTCTGTGAAAACCAAGTTAAGCCATGCGACATGAATTTCAAAGTTGAAGTTAAATAAAGCGATTAAACTAAAAAGTATACCAATGGATTGTTTGATTTAATAGATTTTAAGGATAATTGATTTAGTAATAATCTAAAAAAAAAAATTGTTCTTTAATGCGGAAGAGAAGTTTAATTTTTGAAGGTGATTTTCCCTATCCTCAGATTCTAGCTTAGCCCAGAACTTTTCTTACTGACATCCTATTTCAAAGAGGGATACTTTAAAATGCTTGTGGGTTGATTCTTTTAAAATCTGCGTTCAACCATTTGTTTGTATTTTGGGGTCGATTTTTCGTCATTTTGACAATGTAACCCCTTTCCAAATTTTCGGAAAATGGCCTTGCAGAAAAGTGTCCAAAAACTGCAGTTCCAGACTCATAACTTTTCTTACAGACATCCGATTTCAGAGTGGCATACTTTAAAATGTTTGTGGATTGATTCTATAAAAATCTGCCTTCAAACATTTGTTTGTATTTTGGGGTCGATTTTTCGTCATTTTGACAATGTAACCCCTTTCCAAATTTTCGGAAAATGGCCTTGCGGAAAAGTGTCCAAAAACTGCAGTTCCAGACTCATAACTTTTCTTACAGACATCCGATTTCAAAGTGGCATACTTTAAAATGTTTGTGGGTTGATTCTCTAAAAATCTGCGTTCAAATATTTGTTTGTATTTTGGGGTCGATTTTTCGTCATTTTGACAATGTAACCCCTTTCCAAATTTTCGGAAAATGGCCTTGCAGAAAAGTGTCCAAAAACTGCAGTTCCAGACTCATAACTTTTCTTACAGACATCCGATTTCAGAGTGGCATACTTTAAAATGTTTGTGGATTGATTCTATAAAAATCTGCCTTCAAACATTTGTTTGTATTTTGGGGTCGATTTTTCGTCATTTTGACTATGTAACCCCTTTCCAAATTTTCGGAAAATGGCCTTGCAGAAAAGTGTCCAAAAACTGCAGTTCCAGACCCATAACTTTTCTTGCAGACATCCGATTTCAGAGTGGCATACTTTAAAATGTTTGTGGATTGATTCTCTAAAAATCTGCGTTCAAACATTTGTATGTATTTTGGGGTCGATTTTTCGTCATTTTGACAATGTAACCCCTTTCCAAATTTTCGGAAAATGGTCTTGCAGAAAAGTGTCCAAAAACTGCAGTTCCAGACCCATAACTTTTCTTACAGACATCCGATTTCAAAGTTGCATACTTTAAAATGTTTGTGGGTTGATTCTCTAAAAATCTGCGTTCAAACATTTGTTTGTATTTTGGGGTCGATTTTTCGTCATTTTGACAATGTAACCCCTTTCCAAATTTTCGGAAAATGGCCTTGCGGAAATGTGTCCAAAAACTGCAGTTCCAGACTCATAACTTTTCTTACAGACATCCGATTTCAAAGTGGCATACTTTAAAATGTTTGTGGGTTGATTCTCTAAAAATCTGCGTTCAAACATTTGTTTGTATTTTGGGGTCGATTTTTCGTCATTTTGACAATGTAACCCCTTTCCAAATTTTCGGAAAATGGCCTTGCAGAAAAGTGTCCAAAAACTGCAGTTCCAGACTCATAACTTTTCTTACAGACATCCGATTTCAAAGTTGCATACTTTAAAATGTTTGTGGGTTGATTCTCTAAAAATCTGCGTTCAAACATTTGTTTGTATTTTGGGGTCGATTTTTCGTCATTTTGACAATGTAACCCCTTTCCAAATTTTCGGAAAATGGCCTTGCAGAAAAGTGTCCAAAAACTGCAGTTCCAGACTCATAACTTTTCTTACAGACATCCGATTTCAGAGTGGCATACTTTAAAATGTTTGTGGATTGATTCTATAAAAATCTGCCTTCAAACATTTGTTTGTATTTTGGGGTCGATTTTTCGTCATTTTGACAAATTTCGGAAAATGGCCTTGCAGAAAAGTGTCCAAAAACTGCAGTTCCAGACCCATAACTTTTCTTGCAGACATCCGATTTCAGAGTGGCATACTTTAAAATGTTTGTGGATTGATTCTCTAAAAATCTGCGTTCAAACATTTGTTTGTATTTTGGGGTCGATTTTTCGTCATTTTGACAATGTAACCCCTTTCCAAATTTTCGGAAAATGGCCTTGCAGAAAAGTGTCCAAAAACTGCAGTTCCAGACTCATAACTTTTCTTACAGACATCCGATTTCAAAGTTGCATACTTTAAAATGTTTGTGGGTTGATTCTCTAAAAATCTGCGTTCAAACATTTGTTTGTATTTTGGGGTCGATTTTTCGTCATTTTGACAATGTAACCCCTTTCCAAATTTTCGGAAAATGGCCTTGCGGAAAAGTGTCCAAAAACTGCAGTTCCAGACTCATAACTTTTCTTACAGACATCCGATTTCAGAGTGGCATACTTTAAAATGTTTGTGGATTGATTCTATAAAAATCGGCCTTCAAACATTTGTTTGTATTTTGGGGTCGATTTTTTCGTCATTTTGACAATGTAACCCCTTTCCAAATTTTCGGAAAATGGCCTTGCAGAAAAGTGTCCAAAAACTGCAGTTCCAGACTCATAACTTTTCTTACAGACATCCGATTTCAAAGTTGCATACTTTAAAATGTTTGTGGGTTGATTCTCTAAAAATCTGCGTTCAAACATTTGTTTGTATTTTGGGGTCGATTTTTCGTCATTTTGACAATGTAACCCCTTTCCAAATTTTCGGAAAATGGCCTTGCGGAAAAGTGTCCAAAAACTGCAGTTCCAGACTCATAACTTTTCTTACAGACATCCGATTTCAAAGTGGCATACTTTAAAATGTTTGTGGGTTGATTCTCTAAAAATCTGCGTTCAAACATTTGTTTGTATTTTGGGGTCGATTTTTCGTCATTTTGACAATGTAACCCCTTTCCAAATTTTCGGAAAATGGCCTTGCAGAAAAGTGTCCAAAAACTGCAGTTCCAGACTCATAACTTTTCTTACAGACATCCGATTTCAGAGTGGCATACTTTAAAATGTTTGTGGATTGATTCTATAAAAATCTGCCTTCAAACATTTGTTTGTATTTTGGGGTCGATTTTTCGTCATTTTGACAATGTAACCCCTTTCAAAATTTGTCATTGTCATTTTGACAATGTAACCCCTTTCCAAATTTTCGGAAAATGGCCTTGCAGAAAAGTGTCCAAAAACTGCAGTTCCAGACTCATAACTTTTCTTACAGACATCCGATTTCAAAGTTGCATACTTTAAAATGTTTGTGGATTGATTCTATAAAAATCTGCCTTCAAACATTTGTTTGTATTTTGGGGTCGATTTTTCGTCATTTTGACAATGTAACCCCTTTCCAAATTTTCGGAAAATGGCCTTGCAGAAAAGTGTCCAAAAGCTGGAGTTCCAGACCCATAACTTTTCTTGCAGACATCCGATTTCAAAATGGCATACTTTACAATGTTTGTGGGTTGATTCTCTAAAAATCTGCGTTCAAACATTTGTTTGTATTTTGGGGTCGATTTTTCGTCATTTTGACAATGTAACCCCTTTCCAAATTTTCGGAAAATGGCCTTGCGGAAAAGTGTCCAAAAACTGCAGTTCCAGACCCATAACTTTTCTTGCAGACATCCGATTTCAGAGTGGCATACTTTAAAATGTTTGTGGATTGATTCTCTAAAAATCTGCGTTCAAACATTTGTATGTATTTTGGGGTCGATTTTTCGTCATTTTGACAATGTAACCCCTTTCCAAATTTTCGGAAAATGGTCTTGCAGAAAAGTGTCCAAAAACTGCAGTTCCAGACCCATAACTTTTCTTACAGACACCCGATTTCAAAGTTGCATACTTTAAAATGTTTGTGGGTTGATTCTCTAAAAATCTGCGTTCAAACATTTGTTTGTATTTTGGGGTCGATTTTTCGTCATTTTGACAATGTAACCCCTTTCCAAATTTTCGGAAAATGGCCTTGCAGAAAAGTGTCCAAAAACTGCAGTTCCAGACTCATAACTTTTCTTACAGACATCCGATTTCAAAGTTGCATACTTTAAAATGTTTGTGGGTTGATTCTCTAAAAATCTGCGTTCAAACATTTGTTTGTATTTTGGGGTCGATTTTTCGTCATTTTGACAATGTAACCCCTTTCCAAATTTTCGGAAAATGGCCTTGCGGAAAAGTGTCCAAAAACTGCAGTTCCAGACTCATAACTTTTCTTACAGACATCCGATTTCAGAGTGGCATACTTTAAAATGTTTGTGGATTGATTCTATAAAAATCGGCCTTCAAACATTTGTTTGTATTTTGGGGTCGATTTTTCGTCATTTTGACAATGTAACCCCTTTCCAAATTTTCGGAAAATGGCCTTGCAGAAAAGTGTCCAAAAACTGCAGTTCCAGACTCATAACTTTTCTTACAGACATCCGATTTCAAAGTTGCATACTTTAAAATGTTTGTGGGTTGATTCTCTAAAAATCTGCGTTCAAACATTTGTTTGTATTTTGGGGTCGATTTTTCGTCATTTTGACAATGTAACCCCTTTCCAAATTTTCGGAAAATGGCCTTGCGGAAAAGTGTCCAAAAACTGCAGTTCCAGACTCATAACTTTTCTTACAGACATCCGATTTCAAAGTGGCATACTTTAAAATGTTTGTGGGTTGATTCTCTAAAAATCTGCGTTCAAACATTTGTTTGTATTTTGGGGTCGATTTTTCGTCATTTTGACAATGTAACCCCTTTCAAAATTTGTCATTGTCATTTTGACAATGTAACCCCTTTCCAAATTTTCGGAAAATGGCCTTGCAGAAAAGTGTCCAAAAACTGCAGTTCCAGACTCATAACTTTTCTTACAGACATCCGATTTCAAAGTTGCATACTTTAAAATGTTTGTGGATTGATTCTATAAAAATCTGCCTTCAAACATTTGTTTGTATTTTGGGGTCGATTTTTCGTCATTTTGACAATGTAACCCCTTTCCAAATTTTCGGAAAATGGCCTTGCAGAAAAGTGTCCAAAAGCTGGAGTTCCAGACTCATAACTTTTCTTACAGACATCCGATTTCAAAGTGGCATACTTTAAAATGTTTGTGGGTTGATTCTCTAAAAATCTGCGTTCAAACATTTGTTTGTACTTTGGGGTCGATTTTTCGTCATTTTGACAATGTAACCCCTTTCCAAATTTTCGGAAAATGGCCTTGCAGAAAAGTGTCCAAAAACTGCAGTTCCAGACTCATAACTTTTCTTACAGACATCCGATTTCAGAGTGGCATACTTTAAAATGTTTAAGGATTGATTCTATAAAAATCTGCGTTCAAACATTTGTTTGTATTTTGGGGTCGATTTTTCGTCATTTTGACAATGTAACCCCTTTCCAAATTTTCGGAAAATGGCCTTGCGGAAAAGTGTCCAAAAACTGCAGTTCCAGACTCATAACTTTTCTTACAGACATCCGATTTCAGAGTGGCATACTTTAAAATGTTTGTGGATTGATTCTATAAAAATCGGCCTTCAAACATTTGTTTGTATTTTGGGGTCGATTTTTCGTCATTTTGACAATGTAACCCCTTTCCAAATTTTCCGAAAATGGCCTTGCAGAAAAGTGTCCAAAAACTGCAGTTCCAGACTCATAACTTTTCTTACAGACATCCGATTTCAGAGTGGCATACTTTAAAATGTTTGTGGATTGATTCTATAAAAATCTGCGTTCAAACATTTGTTTGTATTTTGGGGTCGATTTTTCGTCATTTTGACAATGTAACCCCTTTCCAAATTTTCGGAAAATGGCCTTGCGGAAAAGTGTCCAAAAACTGCAGTTCTAGGCCCATAACTTTTCTTACAGACATCCGATTTCAAAATGGCATACTTTAAAATGATTCTGTGTTAATTCTCTAAAAAATCTGAGTTTAAATCTAGGTTTAAAGTTTTTATATCAATTTTTTATAAATTTGTATGAATTGTATTTGTTTTGTAGTGTTTAGCAATTTTAAAAATACGGTTTTACTTATATAAAACTCGGACGACTATATCACATTGCTGCCATAGAAACGATCTAAAAATGTATACAAAAATCTTTATTGTTATTAATATCAAAATCAAATTTATAGAATAGTAAGTTATTGTAACAGGGAATAAAAACTATATTTTTTGGTGGAAAGATGTGGCTAGACTTATATTTATAAAGCTTTTCCAAAGCTTTTTGGAAGTGACGCCAAAGCAGGTGTACATTTCCAAGCCCCAAGCTCCCCCATCAGTGGGTTCAAATATCTGCTAAGCTGAAACCCGAAATAAATTTGAAAATGCCAGCAAGCCGCTTATATAATGTTAGAATAACTATTTTATTACCTCTGACAAAAACACATATTTGTGGGAGTCCTTTGGAGGCGTTGTAGCCAAAGTAGAGATGCATTCGGCAGTTATTACCAAAGTCTACAGTAACTGTGTCCAGCGCATTTCACCCATAACGCTCCTCCAGCACCACCAGTTCCATCGGAACCACCACCTCATCATGGAACAGAACCAACCCACCGTGGGTGGTGTTACGGCCGAGGTACTAAAAGGCGTCGTTTCGCAAGCTCTTCTGGGCAAATTCACAGCTGTTTTCCCAAAGCTTTTCAAGTGCCAGTGGAAGACTTACGAAGGTCAAAAGAAGGTTAGTACATCAGCAGACGAACTTCGAGGTGGGTGTGTGCCGGTAATTTCTCTCGAAATTAGGCAAAAATGAAAAGGAAAAGTTAACGGCGAGCCTCCATTCATCGAATCTCCCCACTTAAAATTATCAGTTCCAAACACTCAACTAACTTTACTACTTTATCCCTCGACCTCGCAGTTCTACGCCAATTTCAGCACCGACTGTATCGACAACAACAGCAACATGAGCGCCCGAAAATTCTGCGTGGGAGGAAACTGGAAGATGAACGGCGACCAGAAGTCGATCGCTGAGATTGCCAAGACCCTGAGCTCGGCCTCCCTGGACCCCAACACCGAGGTGGTCATCGGCTGCCCGGCCATCTACCTGATGTACGCCCGCAATCTGCTGCCCTGCGAACTGGGACTGGCCGGCCAGAATGCCTACAAGGTGGCCAAGGGCGCCTTCACCGGCGAGATCTCGCCGGCGATGCTGAAGGACATCGGCGCCGACTGGGTGATCCTGGGCCACTCGGAGCGTCGTGCCATTTTCAACGAGTCCGATGCCTTGATCGCCGAGAAGGCCGAGCACGCCCTGGCCGAGGGCCTCAAGGTCATCGCCTGCATTGGTGAGACTCTGGAGGAGCGCGAGGCCGGCAAGACCAACGAGGTGGTGGCCCGCCAGATGTGCGCCTATGCCCAGAAGATCAAGGACTGGAAGAACGTGGTGGTGGCCTACGAGCCCGTCTGGGCCATTGGCACCGGCAAGACCGCCACTCCCGATCAGGTGGGTTTTGACTTTTTGACCTTAATCCCCTGCAGAACTAATATCTAAATCTACTTTGCAGGCCCAGGAAGTCCACGCCTTCCTGCGTCAATGGCTGAGCGACAACATCTCCAAGGAGGTCTCCGCCGCCCTGCGCATCCAGTACGGAGGCTCCGTGACCGCTGCCAATGCCAAGGAGCTGGCCAAGAAGCCCGACATCGATGGCTTCCTGGTGGGAGGTGCCTCCCTGAAGCCCGAGTTCGTGGACATCATCAATGCCCGGCAATAAGCAGTTTGATCTCCAAGCATCCTATCGTTTACAACTGGAGAGCTGCCCGCGGAAAAGGACCTGCAAAAGGACTCGAGACCGCACTTGCATTACGCACACACACACACACCGCGTTGTTGTCATCACCAGAGCAGTTCCAAAATTCATAGTTACCTTGCGAGAAAGCTACACACATCCCTGTTGTTAAACGTATAGTCCATTGTGTAAATCTTAAATTATTCAGGCAATAATTATACGCTACTCATATATACTCATATACCAAACGATTGTTTTATTTTTGCGGGAATTTATTTATAGAGCCAGTGGTTTGGCAACAAGGTGGACAAAGTTTATGCATATATGTGTCACCTCTGTGGACCTTATACTGGGAAACTTATGACTTAATTTTTGATAAGAATACGTAATAGCAAATAATTTTTTTTAGCAAGAGAAGCACATATGTTATTTATTTATATGTAAAAATAATTTTTAAACATATAATAATGAAAAGAAATATATACTATGTTTTTAAAAGTTTGTTTATACTAAAAGCTTTTACTTTTTATCAATATGTTATTAGATAGCTTAAATTGAGATGAGATAAGTAAAAAGTTCTCTTGGTTAGAGTTCATTGCTTATCTGTGCGTTTCTAGATTAGCATGTATGATTTGGCAATTATGAGATTAATAATTTTGCAGTACATTTGTATAAGTTTCTAATGCAGTAAAGGTTAGCTCTTTATGCAAGATTTTTGAACCAAGTGACCTCCGTCAAATTATCAAACTGACAGTCAACTTATACATCGTTTTACTTTCACTATATTTATAATATCCCTTTCTGTACACATCGATTTTATTCAGACTAGAGTTTTATATTTTTAAAAATTTACCCAAGTTTTAGCTAAATCCGTAGACAGTAAAAAAAATTCTTAACTTGATTTTAGCGATATTTTCTTAAATGCAAAACGATGGCTCAGTGCTATGGCTTCGACGTCATTCTGGTGAGCTCCAGTCTGCCGATTCCACGGAAATCGGCCAGTTTTAGCGAAGGTGGAAGGGCCATCTACTCAGTCCGGTTATTCGAGGACTTTGAGGAGTTGTCCATTGAGCGCCTGTTCGTGGATCAGTTTCCAGCGGACGCGTTGGGTAGCTTCACGGCCAGTCCCTGCGATGTGATCGGTTCGCTGACCTCCAGGGGCGTCGGCGTTACTCTCAAGGAGAACGACGAGCTAATAGGATCGGGCACGGGCATGCTGGACTCTTCGATCCTGCGCCAGCTGACTGTTCCCTTCTTCTCGGTAACCCAGAAAATTGCGGTGCAGCTGACCAAGGGCAAGAACACTGTTGGTGAGGTGGAGCTTCTCTTGAAAATCAGTGCCGATTCTCCGGACATCAAGTGAGTAGTTGGCACTAATTGGGGTAACAAAAAAGTTAGAAAATTTAATATACCACCTGTTCGAAATGTAATTAAAACTATTATTATAATTAGAATTGGTTTTCCAATTTAATATTCTTCTAATGTTGTGATCCTTTCCAGCCATGGCCTTGTTCCATTTGGCTGCTACGACGTGTGCAAGCCTGTGGACAATTCGATCAACAAAAAGGACATTATATTCACCCTGGGACGCTCTGGAAAGTGTCCCACGAACACCTGCATCACGGATGAGCGTCTGATGTCGCATGCCGGAGCACCCTTTCTATGTCCTCATATGCCCACCGAGATCGAGGATAACGAAGGTGGTGCGACCACGAGATGTGGCTGCTACTTGTCAGGAATGCAGGTGCCTCCGGATGACAAGGAGGCGAAGAAGAGGGACCGGGCCGCTCTCAAAAAGCTCATTGATGAACTGGGACTGGATCAAATCAAAGTGCCCAATGCGCCGGGATCACATGAGAAGTCCCGACGTTGGCATTGCCAGTGCAGGTCAGCACACTCCACCACGGAGACTTCCTCTTGCGACATCAATGAGTTCGAGGCGGAGAAGCCCCCCAGAAAAAGGAAGGCGTTATCCTTGACCGCCTCCCGGGAGCAACAGGCTCGTCGCAGGATTATGGGCTCGTGTCCCGTGAAAGAACCTGAACTAATAAATCAGGCCTATAAGCCACCGAATCTCTGCCAGCTCTGTCAATCGGACATCAGTTGGCTGCCCAAGATCTCCGCTTGTCCTTACTGCGGCTACAAAACTTTCGAGGATATACATCCAAGCGAGGAGCCCTATGATCTCACGGCAACAGCTCAGCAACTGCTAAGGGATTCGCTGCGCAAGGATACCTGTGAACTGGGCTCCTCCGACTCTTCAGAGGATGATAAGGCAATGGGCGACAAGCTCAAGAAACACAGGATGAGCGATGATCCCAATGTGGCCAGACAGTGTACCTGCTTGGACGGAAAACCCTGCACCCGCTGTCGCATCCGCAAACTCTGCGAGAACTTCTTCAAGGATAATGAGTGCAAGGTGGAGCCAATCGCTTTGCCACAGGCTCAAACGGAACGTGTATCTGTGACCAAGTCCTTGCCGGAAGAAAATCAGGTCAGGAAGAGCAACTCGGATATCTCTCAACGACGGACTCAACTGATCTCCATCTTCACGGAGATGCGCAACATGTATGGGAAGAAGAAGGGTGCCGATGAGGCGGATGCAGTGGCCCAGGAGCTGCGCAAGGAATGTGATGCAGTCTGCCGGAACACCAAGACCGCCAAGGCCCGCAGAAAGGCCAGGAAGTCACTGCAGAAGGCCCTAAACGAGATTGACAAGGCCTATCCCAAGCCACCCAAAATACGGGCTAAAAAGAAGCCCGTTCACCACAAGAAGTCCAGATGGTGAGTGGATTTATCCTTTATATTGAATCAGAAGATTTAACCCTGCTCATCCACAGCTACACCTTTCTGAATCTAAAGAAGCAGGAAAAGGATGCCCGTATAGGCCACCTCGATTGCATTTCGGACAGCAAATACACGGGCTATTGTAAAATTCCCTGTCACATGGGTTGGATGTGGACCAAGGGTGAAATGGCGCGGTATAAGTCCTGGCGTCCGGGAGCCATTGCAAGACCCATTCGCCAGATGATGAGGTACTTCTTAAAAGACTACCCAGTGGACAATCTTTGCTTGTCGCGATACCACTACCTACGCCGTCGCAAGTGCCACAAGAACAAGGAGGAAGAGCCGTTGGTGCAGCATCCCACACTGCACATAAGTCGTAGCGGTGATGAGTACATAATCACACTGCGTCCTTTGAAGGACCCCAAGTCCCTGGCCACCAGTGCCAATCCCTATGCGGACATGAAACCTGTGGTCTTCCGCATCACCAAGGATCCCATGGCCGCAGGACTGCGCCAGATGAGGGTGGCTCTGCAGGACAAGGGATTCGCACCGTGCACTTGTCGTCGTCCGGTGGCTAGTTGCTTCTGCCGCAGTCACAACGACAAGAAGCGCATCCAGTACGAGTTGGAGAGCCTTTGTCGCCAGCGGGGATGGCCAAACAACTCAGATTCCTTTGTGTACTCCCCGAATAGCGATGACGATGACAGTGATCGGGAGTACGAGTTTGGGGTCACTCCACCAGCAGGCGTTATAAAACCGGAGCGCAGAAGGAAACCGGACCTGGCGCATGTGGAGACCCAGTATGTGGACCACGACTGGGCCGCACCCACCATGTATCCCCATCCGGCCAACATGCTGGTCCAGTACGGCGCCTGTGTGGTGGGCGAGCGCAAGAAGAAATTCCCCTGGCTCTACGGAAAGGGTAACATCCATGCCGATCCCCCCAAGCCCCGAATGAAGAATCCCCCGAAGAAGAAGCCGCGCAAGAAGCTGCCATTCCGAAATGTTGGCGGCTACGATGACCCGAGTCGCTTTAATGATCCCACTCCGCTTAACAGACCTTGGCATCAATCGAACTCCCCGGGTCGCATGCAAATGTATTGATTTTCAGACGAACCACTTTTAAATCTCTAAATGAATGACCGTTTAGGCTTTCAAAATAAAGCTTGTAAAATTATTTTTATTTTTATTGTTAGATGCTTGATTAGGGCACTATTTTGTAGAGGCTTAGCAGTTTCTGTGGGTCCAGAAGTTATGACCAAACTAAATTAGTGAAAAACCTATCAGATTATAATGTAATTTCAAAGGCAAGACACTTATTATTTGGGATTAAATAGATCAAGTAATCGCCCGCAGAAATGCATGATTGACTTACTTTACAAAGCTATATTTTATGAATTTTGTAAGATATTTGGTAAAACAATTGAAGTGTAGGCATGCACAAAAGAAATCTTACTTCAATCTATAAATATTTTAGCTAATCCTCTTAATTAATAATGCTTAAAAGCGTCTGTAAATAAAATCTATAAACCTATTTTGGATGTTAATTCAAGAGAGATAAAAATGACTCAGGATGCCATGAATTTTGCCTTGCTTAAACTTCCCGATCTGATATGACAACCCAACTCATTCTCTATTGATAGTTCAGGTCGATCGCTTCAGGCTCAAGTCCTATTTAAGTTGTATAATTTTATGTGAATTTTCGTGCATTCCTCGTGAGCTTTTTTAAATTATTTGTGCAAGGAAATTTTTAAGCTCGTGGACGACCCGGGTTCGATAAACCTCCGTACAGAATGGCGACCTTAGACTGCAGGCCGGCGCAGGCAGAAAAGAAGGAGGTGAAGCCGGTGGAGGAGCTGATGGACTGGGACAACTACTACAAGCACCGCGGGATGATCAGCACCCGCTTGGCCAGTTGCAAGACGGACTACATGCACTGCTCCACCTATCAGGACAAGGGCAAGAACCAGGAAAAGGACCCCAAGGACAAGAAGGACAAGAAAAAGAACTCGTGCTGCTGCTCCTCGTGTCCAGTAAAAAACCGGGAGCAGGACTACGAGCCCCGGTGTCCAGCTCCTGGTCAGAAGGGCAAAGCCCAACAGGGCTTATATGCGCTGCTTCGCCGCCAAATTGATTGTCCAGAGACTCGACATGCCCGGCCGGGATTTCGAGTGCCGCGATAAGTTGCAAATCAAGGCCAATGTGTGTCGGGGATGCAAGATTTGTCTGGACGACAGTCGCATCAACGTCAACTGTCTGCCCCTCAATCCGGACAAGACCTTCCAAATGGAACCCGAGTGTTTGCAGAGGCAACTGGCCGAGGGCATCCCCATTTCCGTGATCTATTTGCGCAAGGAGATCGGTGAGTGGTCGCAGGACCTGCTATAATTGGACTAATCCCTGACTTCCAGCACGCGGCTGCTACTTTCCACCTGCGGCGGTGGTCAACCGCATGATCAACGAGTTCTCCGAGATCGTGCACGATGCCAATATAGAGCTGACCTGCAAGGGCTGCACCGTTGGCCTGGTCAGCATCCGCTTTGCGATGCAGATGCGCTGCCAGATCCTGAAAGAGTAAGTAACGCCACCAAGGACCTGATCCTGATTGCGATAGCACCTGAACTTCAATAGAGTTGCGGACGGACGTTTGGCGGGCGGCCAGGAGCGGGGATGTTGTTCCAAGGACATGAATGTGAATCCGCAGGACGTCTCCTATATGTCGGGTGGCAACCAGTCCTCCTCTTCCATTGATCCCTGTGCGGGCTTTATGCCCAGCGACATGGATGTGCCTTCGGAGGTGCCCTCTTGCAGCGAAGACAAATGCCAGGATTTCGCTGGATGTCAGGTGGGTAAACTAAATGTAACCCCAGATTATTTCTAAATTTACTCGCTTAGGAATCCCCTCCTCGGCTGGTGGACATGGCCGGACCCTATCCCGTCTACACCTGTCCCAATGTGGACGACGGTTGTTTGACCTTTGAACCTCCAGCGGCACCTGCCGCACAGTTCTCCCCCTGCCAAAAAAACATTCTGGGCGAGGGGAACACCAACCGGCTGTGCCAACAGCTTTCCTCCCCGAAACTCCGGCAGATGCACATCAGCAATACCCGATCCTGTGTCCTTTGCGGCGAGGACGTATCCTGGCTGCCCAAAGTGGCCGCCTGTCCTTGCTGTGGCTACAAACCTGTGCCGGAGTTCAAGGAGCGGACCTACGACGAGGAAGCCACTGCGCAACAGATCCTGCTGGACCACTTGGATAATCCTGTGGAGGATCTCAGCTTTGACCTGGGATCGGTGGAGGGATGCTCGGCGGATGGGGAGCATGGGGAGCCAGGACGCACCTCGGAGGCCTTTGAAGCGATAGTGCGGGACTACCAGCTCCTGCGGCGCAGCATTCGCGAATCCTCCACGACCAAGGCCGCCCAGTCGGCCACCAAGAAACCAGCAGATCAAGAGGGCGAAACAAAGCCTCAAGATTTGGCCAAGGTTTTCGCAGAGCTGAGAGATCTCTTCCACGTTAAAACTCCCGATGAACACCAGAAGATCCAGGACATTTGCACGGAGGCCTGTAACCTGGCCAAGGCGCAGAAGAAGAGTCGTTCGGAAAGGAAGAAGGGAGGTAAAGCCAATACCACTGATAACGCATGTGATGTCGCGAAACCAAAGAAGCGTCGCCCAAAGAGCAAGCGTCCCTTCAAGTCCAGGTACTACTCCATGTATTGCCCTCGGGTGAGGCCCAAGGTCACATTGGATTGCACAGACAATAAGGTGCCCAGCCACATGGGCTGGCTGTGGACTGCCCATCCACTGGCATCCAAACCCGGCTGGAGACCCGGTGCCATCCGCCGCTCCATTCGCGGCCTGATGCGCTACTTCCTCAAGGACTTTCCCGTGGACAGCGTGCCCGTATCGAAGTACATGTCGTTCTACAAACACAAGAAGTCGCCAGAGTCTCCGCCAGGTGAGAAGCCGCAGGATTTGATGCAAGTGCCCACGCTGCACATAGAAAAGAAGAACGATGTGTACACCATCACCCTGCGTCCTTTAAAGGATGCCAAGACGCTCTCACGCTCGGCCAATCCCTACGTGAACATGAAACCCATGCAGTTCAGGATCGTGAAGAATCCGCTGCTGAAGGAACTGCGCGACTTGAAGCGCTGTCTCAAGGGAATGGGTTTCAGCAAGTGCAAGTGCCACAAGCCCCTGATGACGTGCTTCTGCCGCAGTTTCGTGGACAAGAAGAGGCTGTTGTACCATGTCCGGAAGGAGTGTGAGCGTCGGAAGATAGAGTCCTGCGAGAATGAACTGGTGCTGACCGACACCTCCGACAGCGAGGCGGAGTTTGACTTCGGGGTCACACCACCGGCGGGCTTGATGCATCCGGAGCGACTGAAGACCACCCATGTGACGAACACCGCAGTGCAGTACGACGAGAGTGACTGGGTGAATCCCAGCCTGTATCCCCACATGCCCGATGCCACAGTTCAGTACGAGAGCTGTGTGATGGGCGAGCGGCAGAAGCCGTTTAACTGGATCTACGGCAAGGGCGTCATCCAGGAGGAGCCCAAGCCGCCCAAGATGAGGAATATTCCCAAGAAGCAGAAGAAGAAGAAGCCGGTGCCGGGTCGCGTGGCTGGAGGATTTGCGGGGCAGGAATTCCAGGATTCCTCCATTTACAGCCGAGTCAACAATAACTCGGTTCAAACCCAAACTCGCACGCAAACTATCGGGCCTATTCACAATCTTCCAAATTACTCTACGGACTCGAAACTGCCGCTGACTGGCCAACACATGAGGCTTCTGGATCAAGCGGCGTATCCACCCACTGCTCCGCAAAGGAAGGAACCTTGGTCCTGGGAAATGACCAAGGAAAAGCAGCGTCAAAGGGTCAAACGAAGGACGAAAAAGCTGGTGCGATTCGATCCTACCATCGGTGCTCACTCCTCAGATAATTATATCGCTTAGTTTCGTTTAACCGGGTCGCTTTTACTTTATCCACATCCCCCAATAACCCCCTTTCAACATACGATTTTAGCCAACCCACCAATGTTCCGATAACACTCAACCGCGTAAAATTGTAAGTTTTAATAAACAGGAAAATTGCAAAACAATCTTTTTTTACTAATGGATAGGTTTTAAAGTAGAGATTTAATGGTGTATTTTTAAGTTAGGGGTGAAATTGAATTGGTTATCAATAAAACAAACGATCTACTTAATTTCATAGTAGTATTTAAGTCTCATCCATTTCTTATTTAAATTACATACATCACAGAGTAATAGTTGGTTTCATTCCTAAAATAACACTTAATTAAAACCGCTAAAAATTACATACTTGAAGTTATTACTTGAGATTGTTTTTTTTTATCTGGCCTTAACCTACCTGGTTTCTAACCCATACTTAATACTCCACAGATCATATCTCTGCTATAATTTTATAAATCTGTTTATTTAACCCTTGCATTCATTGTTTGCTAGTAAATGCCCCATTGAGGTGGTTAATCCAATGCTGCTTTGTTTATCTAACCTTAACACGCTTACACATTTTTACCACCTAAAATTGCGGGAGCAATGAGGAACCAAAGAAGTCTCAAGTAATTCCCATGGAGCACTTGCTCAATCCAGATTTGTTTACCTAACCTTTGTGACACTGCTGGTGACATAACTAAAGCCCACAAGCGAGTACACTTCGCGGAATATGCAGATTTTCCGGTCCATAGTTGCCCACAAATGTCTTTCTAATAAGTTGAGTTTACCAGTGAATTCCACTGCACAGAGACAAATTCAGGTGTAGTTTAGGGAAACAAACTGAATAACTGAATATTCATATATTTAAATATTACTACTAATTAACTTCAACATTTAAGGGAGTTAATTTTGTAATATACGTTTTTAAACCATGTTATGATTATTCACTTTAATAGAAATAGAATTCAGATAGAATTAGAATTCAGCTTATATTGTTTAAGCCTTACCTTTAAAAAGAATTAGAATTCAGCTCATATTAATTTAGCCTTACCTTTTAAGAAGGTATTTATTAAAGATTTTTTGTATAGGTGGATCATAAAAAGCAATGTTTCTATCTTGATATGAAGTATAAAAATAAAATCGTTTTTCGACGTGTGGCTTTCGTCGCGGACTGTTGCTCTATCAAAAGCACCATCTTCTCCCATTTAAATTTGTTGAATCACTTCTTTAAGTTTGCACGTTTTCTTTTCTTATCCTTTGCGAATCAGTTATCGTTATTCAATCAATCGTTGGCCATCTGTCATTGCGAATCTTTTAACTCGCAGCTCACAAAGCGTTAAAGTCGCGCCTCCGTCTTACGCCTTAGTTTTCCGACTAACTGAATATCATATCTTGATTGCCGGAACGAGGGGCATGTAATTCTCCAACTTCGTGGAGCTTACAAAGCGTGCCCCAAGTTTTGGAGTGTCGATCAGACGAATTCCAACCGCTGGGGCGACAACATGTGGTTGGTGCGGATCATCCATTTGCTGGGTATAATGGCCCTCTTTCCACTATTGGGTTACTTTGGAGAAAGTGTTGATGGGAGTGATCTCAGCTACGGTGATTATTACGGCAATGCCAGTGCCAGAATGCTGCGATTCCGCGATTTCGAGCCTCGTCAGCAAAGTGGGAGAATGGATCTAAGTTTGGAGGAAAGGGAAAATCCAGGATTAGAACGCGAGGGTCGTGGCTTCCATTTCCATGCCAGCGGCGAGGATGTCAGTGTCGAACTGGAGTTCATTGTTCCGTTCCTTAAAGTTCCTGTGCAAAGGAGCATGAATCTGGCCCGTGATGCTATTCAGAACATCTTAAATTTGCGAACCGGAGCGATCATAAACACAGCAGTTGTGGTGGCTGCAGGAACGGTGATTGCAGCAGTAGTACGATTACTTATAGCCCCTCTAGTAATCACCTCTATTGGCAATGGATATGGCTACAAGTCGGATTCAGATAGAGGCAGTAAGTAGATGGAAAATAAATCTAAATGTTAATCTAACATATGCATTTGCTTTTAGTGCGACGACTAACTGATGTGGTGGAATCACAATTGGAGGAGCACAACATTGACATGTCCGTTTGCGTTCAGAGAATTATCTGCCAGTACTTGCAGAGGAATCTTTCTTCAGGATATGCCAGGGCTCTAAATGTTTTAGCTAGGTAAACAAAGAAAACAAGAAATGTTTAAAAACCAAATTTATAATGTAATTCCTTTCCAGTTCACCCTGGCTTCAATCGTTTGCTGATGGAACTGCAGTATTCCATGCCATCCAATCCGCTAGGAGCAGTCGCAGTTGTACTCACACATATCACAGCTGTCGATGGCCCAATCACTTCAACTGGAAGTCTGGAGACTTACCACAAGTTCTTAAGTTCTTTAATGGATAACTACCATGATAATTACTATAAATACGATTAAAGTTACTTATTTATTTGTTTATAGCTATAGAAAAGAACTTAAAATATTGAGATTAAATCTAAAACATAAAATATTTGTTTAATTATAATAGTTATAAGGACAAAAATCTTGAATAAAAAGAATTATAAAAACATTACACCTTTTTTTACCTCCAACGAATGTTTTGTTATGTAATGGAAATGCCGGGAAATTGGACTAATTTCTACCACTTCTCTGCCAATTAGAGAAGGTAGCCATAGCCATCTTCCCCTTTCATCTGGCCCGGCATTTCCTATGGCTAATCGTTTTCGCACCTCCGTGCTGGTTATGTCACACTCCCCACTTTGTTGCATTTTGTGTTCAAGACACGAGTGGGAACTGGAGTCACAGTCAAAAATTATAGCAACCAGGAGGCAGCCAAGCGGTAACCACACGGAAAAAAACTTTGAAAGCTATAATTAGAAAACATTCCATACCTTACCATAAAGTACTTAACTCCTATCTTTTGGAAAGTATTGATCAAAAAGTAATAAATGGCACTATCCCATCAATACTTTAGATCTTATAATAAACAAATTTTCCAAAAATTGGAAACAAAAAATAGGAGAATATATTTGAAAATAAATATGTATACTAAATAATTTTATTAGAAAGGTTGGTGTGGCAGAAATATTAATGAAATATTATTATTAACAAACATATAATATATTACCCTTTTAAATAACCTTTTCACAGAAAGTTTATAATTTTGCTCAGTGCATAGGTAAGTCATCGAGGCAGATCGGCGGTGGTGGCTTTAAAGTTTGTTGGTGACACCGTCTGGGAAATTGATTCAAATGTTCGGCAACCACCCACCCAGTCGGATCTACCAGCGGAAAGATGAAGCTATTGTACCTGACCTGCGCTCTCCTGGCCAGCTGTGCCGTTATTTGGGCCGCTAGTGGTGAGGAGGATCAGAGGGAGGAGCAAGGATCTGTGAAGCTTCCCAAGCAGCACAGCTCGAAAAGCAATCCAGGCCATGGATTTAAGCTTATATCCTTCGATGCAGTGGGCAAACACATCGCCCTGGGCTTGGATTACCTGGTGCCCTTTCTGGAGGTTCCTGTCAAAAGAAAGCGAAACGCTCCACCAAAGGTAGGTTTTTACTGCTCCTACTTCTTCGCTGCAAAAAAACAGTATATTTTTAATAGTTAGTTGAGTTTAAATAATGTATGATATGAATTGATTTTTGTTTCGATTACAATTTAAATACCTTTTTAATTATGTACTTATTTACCTTAATTTGTCTTCGTTCTTAGGCACTGGTTATAGTAAATACTGCTGCAGTCGTCAGCTGTGGACTCGTGGTTGCAGGCGGAGTCCTTGTGGGACACCTGATCCGGAGCTTAGGATTGGAGGCCATCACAGCAGATGAAAATCGTCCCATATTCGGAAATTCTTCTACACTTAAACCAAAGTCTTCGGAGGAGGATGTGTGGTCCTCCACACCAGCACCTAATGCAACCAATGCCACCTCCAGAGCACTTTACGATGATAACTTGAGTTTTCCTGGAATTTTTGACAACTTTAAGCTGATCTACCGAAACGAAACTGGAGATCGCGTGGGTATGTTCGGAAAATATTAAGGATTTAATATGAATTTATGTTTATAATTACCTTTATATCCGTGTAATCCACCATTCTTCTCTTAGCAACTAGTCTTCCCAATATTTTGAGCGTCGTTGAGCGAACGTTTCTCAAGAACGACGTGGATCTATCCGTCTGCCTGCTAAAATCCATTTGCACTTTAACTCACAGCGCAGGACAAAAAGTGATGAAGGGTGAGGCCACGGACATGGAACACCTACTGGATGGAGCCACCAAGTGGTCCTGGCTGATGGCGTGGCTAGAGCAATCCGCTTTTCGCGAGGCCATCGAAGCGGGGAAAGTAACTTCGACCAATCACTGCACGATCAAATATCCAGAATGCAAATGGACGACGCCTGAACAACAAATCCTAGAGCTATTGCGCAATAATGTGCAGTTTAAATAGGCTGTTATTTATTGTATAATAGTGCTCAAAAACTAAACTACTATTTTTAATAAATTTCATAGACTTCTACATTTTATTTTCACACATGTTCCAAAATTATACATGTGTTTTACATTTTGAATATGACGTGTCCATGGGTTGTGTCTTTGATAAAAAGTTGTGGCGAATTTATTTTCAACGGCGAATTCGGTTTACTATTAGATAACTTACCCAAAATGCTGAAAACATGAACCAATTTCCTCCCCAATGAAAAAGTTAAGCACAGATTTTCTGCATGCAACTTTCATCGAAATGAATTCTATATTTATTTTGCCAATTAATATTAAAACAAGTTTAAAAACACTGAACATTGATTCAATTTGGATTAGAGCAAGCAAACAGTATTGTATGATGCGCCTTAAACAGAATTAAAACTAATTTACATAAAGAATCGGTAATCATGGGATAATTGAAATCGAGATATAACTGAAAATGATTGACACAACGTTAATTTATAGAAATGCACAAAGTATAGCCTGAAGTTAAGATCAACTGAATTGGGTAGATATTTACTTAGTTGAAATAATTATAGTTAATATATTATAATTCCTACAAACTTTCATTGTAGCCTTTGAAAACATTGAAATTAATGACTTAAACTAAAAATTACATTATTGTATATTTTTTTTGCGTTTTTTTTTTTATTTTTTCTCTTTTATTGTAAAACATGTTTAAAAACTTTTTTTTTCGTCACAGCTTCTTCGCTTGAAAGTCATAAAACAGAATACAACCTTCACCAAAAAACTTGTTTGAGCCTTCTAGCAAAAAACTATGAACATTTTTTTAAGATATTTTTTTTTGTATTTAAAAAGTTTATCGTTTTATTGTTATTTATCGACTGGTACTCCTTTTACTCTGCTAAATTGCTCCTCATCCTTTTGTTGTGTAAACGGTTTGCATATAGAAAATCATTAAGACTAAATTACATACGTGTATATTCTTCTGTTCTAGGCAGTTAACATGGCTACAAAACTATTCAAGTGTGATTAACCCTTCCTGTTTGTAAATGTGTCGGTTAGCTTGGGGTCAGGGGTCAAGAGGTCGGTCGGGGGGTTGGCGTGTGGGTGGGTGGGGAAAGGCGAAAGGGGTTTGTCAAGATGGTTGTGCGGGATCCTACGCAAGGCTCAAAATCAATCTTTTGGTTAGCTTCCTCATCGATGCTCAGTTTAATTTCAATGTTTTCTCCTCATAAGCACGAAAAAATGCGCTCTTACAAATGCAATGCATGCAAAGGTATCCATTCTAGGCGATTTCTGACCAACCCAGGACCTGCTCCAACTGGTTCTCGCTGAACTCGAAGCCACCCTCGCCCATGATGTAGTCATCGTTGCACAGGTCCATCATCGCCGGCGTGTGCAGCAAGGGATTGCTGCTGTCCAGGAAGGAAATGGAGGTCTTCCGGCTACTGGGGGCGTTACATCCCTCGAGCTCATCTTCCACCGATTGCTGGATCACTGGAGTCACCACATCTAGTGCTGGTGCAGTTTCTGCCTGCTCACTGATGGTGGTAGTTAAGGGCATCCTCTTGCGTGGTGACCCCGATGCCCCATCCACCAGGCTGTTCTCATCGATGCCACTGTCGCTGGAGGCATCCGTATCGCAAGCCGTCAAGCCCGGAGGCACTGAATCATCCAGGGAGACCACTGACACGGCGTCACAATCACCTCCTCCAGCATCTGAGCCTCCAAAGACCGGAGACAGCTGGAAGTTGGTGCCGCTGATCAGCGGATTGTGGTGAAAGTCCCGCAGCACCGCCGTCGTGGAGGTGTGGCAATGCAGGGGCAATCCATATTTGCCCAGAGGAACTGACTGGCCCAGGGAGTTGTCATCATCGATCATCATTGGTTCGGTTTCGCTATCCTGTTTTATGGGGCAGAAAAAGGGAAAGAAAATAAAACAATAAATTAGTAAAGGGTTTTTTCCATTGATATACAAAAAAAAAATGCAGAAAGAAACTCAATAACACAGAAATTTAAGTTTAATTTTTGTTTATGGTTTTCTGAAAATAGAATTCATAATTAAAATGTAATGGCTTTTATTTAACTTGAGTTTCTTTCTGTGTAGAAGCACTCCACAGCTGAAAAGGTTTTCTCTTAATTACACAAGGATTCGTTATTACAAATTTGTTGTGGTAAATGGATCGATTTTCTTAATTGCCCTACTTAATCTTAACTTATTGGTATTCATAACTAATAGCTTACAATTGAAATTACAATTATTACTTAAGTACCGCAATCTGTGCGTAAATTAATTTAAATTAACCGATTTGCAGCCAAATTACTCCCCGAATCCCCCAAGCAACCAACTCCCTGGAGAACGTAACTTTTGACTGAGTTTCATGCCTATTCCTATGCAAATGCCGGCTATTAACTCGATGAGACCTGTAGGGAGGAGGTTTTGATACCTTGACAGTTAAACGAAAATCGAGCGGAAAAACAGGGCTAAGTCGGAGTCATGAAGATGTTTAAAGTCACTCGCTCAAACAGGCTCAAGCCCTAGTCCCTGCGGAAAAGCCCTCGGAAAAACGGGCAACAGCGGGAAGCTCTCAGCCAGAGAAAAGCCAAGCGGGAAAGTCCACACAACAGTGGGAGGCAGGGGCTGGCAAGCCTGCAATAAATCATATTTTAATGATGCTTGGGAATGGGTCCTGCTGCTCGCGTTGAAACAGAATCCAGCGGCGGGACATTATTATGCTCTGGATTTCGGATTGACACAAAGAACGCCCCCACTTTCACTTTAAGAGCCACCAGTCAGTGCACATTTCCATTCCCGCCAGTCAGACTGACAGGAAGTGGGGCGTATATCACTTTCGACCGCTGCCAATCCGCCGTCTGAACTTTTCATACAGAGCAAATAACATAATAATTTCGGTTCATGATTAGCATTTCATGACGTCAAATTTTAATATTAATAATCATCAGTTTGGGGAAATTTTACTTAGATATGTGGGGATTATAATGTTTAAATGTGTGATCAATCATTACAAAATAAAAGGTGTGACCTAGCCTACAAACATAAGGTCAATATAAGGAAACTTCGTTAATTAATTACGTTAATTGTGTTTAAAATAATCTTCAACATCTCAAAATCTGTAACATCCTCTTCAATATAAAAACATCAAATTAAATACCGCTTAAAGACAGACTTTTGACGAAGATAAAGTGCCAAAAATTACCCCGACGGGTGTGATGATGTATATTCGGCAAGGGTTCAACTGCAGTCCATTGAACCGCACCCCTGCCCTCTGTTTGCCATGCTTTCATCGCGGATTGTTAGTCTTCGATTGCAGCTAGTGCTAATTGCAGCAATTACGGAATGAAAACGAAAGTGCTGTAAGTTGAGCGATGGACAAACAAAACGGCGGACAAAGAAAGTGAAAGTTGGAGCAGTGACATCTGTCCCGGAGAGAACTCACGCCGACGGGCATTTTATCATCAGAAGCGAATGGGAAACACCCAAAAACATGTTTCCCTGTCCACGGCTGACAGGGCGTATGCGTAACGAAATGATGAGAAACTCCAGTGGCACGCGCAATGCCCCCAGGACATCGATGGAAAAAGTAGGAGCCGTGTAATAGGTTTATTGTTTGATATATTGTGTGGCATGCCTGCCAGGACTCGGGCATTGGTCTAATATGCTCTAATAAATTATTAAAGGCAATTGCTGCCACGCAAAAGGCAAAACTATTAGATGAAGACGGCATTGTCCGCGTGAAAGGTTTCCGGAAATGCCAAGGCATTACAATAATTGGCAGTCCTCCTCCGCTCCTTCATTTTGATGTCTTAGGCAGCAGCTTTGCGCCGACTTTATGGCGGATTTTCCCAGTGTTCTGCTGAGTTGGCTTTGCAGTCGTATAGTCCTCTAGTCCTCTGCGTTTAAAGCCGTCTAATTGGATTTTTCCTTTTTATGGCATCGCATTTCATCGACGCCCTGCCACGTGCCACGCCCACATGGCCCACGAAAGTCCAATAGAAAAACAAAAGCAATTAAAGGGAAACTTTACTTTCACTTTGGCCTGCGCTGCTTCCAAGTTTCTGCAGAAAAATCTGCTGTCACCGCATAATAAAAAGTAAAAGTAGGCAGCAAATGTACTCAAGTACTACATTAACATTTTCTTCAACTCGACTCTTATTGCGTAATTCTACGCATCAGAAGACTCCTGGGAAAACGCTCGAAAGGATTGCCCTCTTTATTTCCCAGACCTTCCATAACGAGGTGAAATTGAAATTGAAAACTGGGGCCCGAAATCAATAAGCAATAAACTTGAATAACTCATGCAGCCATTTCGGCCAAGGAGACAATGTGGCGTATACGTAATGCAATTGTCGCCAGGCATATTTCCTAAAGTAGAGAGTGGAATTTCGGTTGCTAGAAGGTTGTGAGGAATTTAATTTCACCACAGCGCTCGTGTGTGACGAAAATTCGTCATTTATTTACAGGCAAACGAAGCGAAAGATTTAAATTTGGCCAGAAAGTAAAACGAAAATCTGAAGATAAGAGAGAAAAGTTAGCCGTGTGTTTGAATGTGCTCGGCATACTTAAGTGTTTGACTTGAAGACGCAAGACAATAGAAGGAAATGGAATTCAATTCCAGAGATAGGACAAGTTGGGGCAACTTGATTAGCTGGCAGCATCATTTATTCCAATCAAAAGATTTTAATAAATTGCCAGTCACTGGAGCGACTGGTGGAGCAGGCAAATACACAATGCTGAATGGAGATTAATCAATTCCCAGGCCGGCCTGTCAATACAAATATGCTCGAGGGCCAATGTATGCACATAAATCGAAGGGAAAAGTTGTAAACATCGGCGACGCCCATTCCACCACATCATACTTTTTCCAAAGAAAAACACAGTTCGCCTGCTTTTCTCCGAGATGCTTTCCTCTTATCTGCTGTATCAGTTGATTCGCTGGGGTTTTATTCGGCTTTATTGTTTTATTGGATTTACTAAAATATTTATTAAAAGTTTATTAAAATACTTTATAATCCAGATATCATATCATATGCCATATCGTATCGTACTACATTCGCTTGTATATGTATAAGTTGCTTGACATCTTGTATATATATATATTTTTATGTATATAGGTGTATATATGTATAATATTGCATACTTTGCGGCGTTTACACACTAGTTTTTGCCTTACATAGCGGATCGATTCGATTCGAGTCTAATTCAAGGCTAGTTTCGCTCTACGCTTTCAAATTACGCTAACATCTTGTGGGACTGGAGGTATTCTCGGTGTTGTTTGTGTGATGTTTCGTGTGGGATAGGGTTCCAGCTTTTGGGTCTCACATAAGCAGCTTAGTCTGTCTACAAACACAAGTAATTGTTGCAAATTAACCGGAGGAGGTTGAAGAGATTTGTTGGCATGGCAAATAAAAGCAAACGCCCCATAAAAATGACTCTTCATTTGTTCGCCACTTCTGACAAATGAGTCTCGGGCCAAAGGTTACTTTTGTAGATACAACAGCGACCTGTTGATGTCGGCAATCATAATATAATTTTGCATAATGCCTGCACAATTAATCAAGGCAAAACGAGAGCGTGAACAGCTCCGAGTGAACTTCAAATTGACTGCTCGGATAAGGAAGCCAAGATGACTCTCAATCCCGAGAGCAGGGACATTAATCAAAATCAGCCAGCCGCCAAATCAATTGCAACGCACACAAAGTGCTTGTCACCTTGACTTCTCCCTTTGAATTATGATGAGTTGGCCAAAACGGGAGCTACAGTAAACGGATATGTCAAGTGTGTATGGGTATGTGTTTGCTATTAGGGGGCTTTGTATGCTCGCATGTTCTGTCTTCATTTGCTGGCCCGAAATTACAGCTAATAAAGTTGCACAATAAATCTGTATTTTTGGAGGAGGCTGTTTGTGTGTTGAAGTGACTCACATAATTTCACTAAATTTACTTTACTTTTCGTTACTTTACTGAAGCTTTCTCCGAGGTATTCGACGCACATAAGTAGGCTATAAAAATTACACAACATTTAGTTTAGTTTACTTTAATTTACTTGCTCTAGACTTGCTTTAGCTTTAATTTAGTTTAGTTTAGTTTTGTTTAGGTTTTAGTTTAGGCTTAGGTTTCTGGGGCTCTAGTTAATTCATTGCTATAAATGCGAGACACATACAACAAGAATTGGAGGTAGTAAAAAACGCTCGTTATCAAAGGGTCGCACAACATTCATTAAGGTGTATTGAACTATCAAAAGTCGGAATAGGCATATGTTTTTAGGATAGGTATATGTATGTATATTTTAGTTAATGTTATATGTATACACGAGGTATGTAAGTAAGCGCCGATCGGGGGGATTTCCCCCGAACGACCTACACGATCGTACTTATGCATGTACTGAGGTATATGTGGTATATTTGTGGTATTGTATGTACTTTCTGTTCGATTCTCGTTCCCGATTTTGCACTCCGTCGCGATAAAGCTACCCATCTGCCCCAACTTCGATTCCCTCCGATATCCTATCCCTCTCTCTCTCTCTCTGTCATACGTAACGCGAAAAATTTCAACTAAATGTGATGATTGGGATCCGTGATCGTCTACTACAAAGTCGTTAATGTTATTGTTATCGTTAGTCGATTTGAATTTGACTTGCGCGGGGTTTAGTTAATACTATCTCGATATCATAGCTAAATATTAGGCAGATTACTGGCTACTCCCATGCTCGGAGACCTAGAGTTTAAGTTTAGTTAAAGCCACATCGATTAATTTTGAGTTTTCCTAGCTTACTAGCTTTTCTGGTGTTTGCCTCGTTCTATAACTTTCGTTTTATTTACATCCCTGCTTAGATCTATGTATAAGTTCCGCGCTATGTGTATATAATTTTTCAGAGTTTTCGGCTCGCAGTCTTTTCGGGCTATAATAATTATTCAAATGTTCTCAAGACCCCACTTTGGAGCTCTGACTAAATGATTATCGAGAGGAATATATGCTAAGTTATCTGGTATTTGTCTAGTTAATATCTCGAGGATTGCTTGTCAATTTGCTAACAGTAAAATTTACTAGTAGGGCGCCTGGGTTTCTTCTATATCCCTCTTTTTTTTTTTGGCCTTCGTTTCTTTGAGGTTACTATTTTGATGGCTGATCCGGAGGTAGTTTCGGTTTCAGTTTCAGTTTCATTTGTTCGATTTTGCCACACGAGGTAGATGCGGTTACGATCTGATCTATCTGGCAATTTCTCCTATGAATTGTTCTATTTAACCAGAGAAGCTTTTCTGCCTGGCCAAAAAAAACATAAGTAGCAAAGTAAATAAAGTAAACGGGGCATAGGACGTTCCTAAGTAGGGAGCAAATATTTGGCCACGTACACACATGTGTCGCCCGAGAATAATGCAAATTGGGTCTCCGGTTCCGGCGAAGCTGCAGCCAATTACGGAGTCGTCGGGGCGACTCATTAATGCAGGGACCACGGAAAAGTGCCAGCCGTGACGCAGAAAGTCCGCCCAGAGTGGGAAGCTCGTGTAGGCCATAAAACCGAGCCGAGTAGTAAACCCAAAACCCGGGGGTTTTTCAGTACATAAGAGACACGTGCGGTGGAACAAAAGAGAGAGTCGGGGAATAAGAGAGACGAAAGCGGAAAGTGAAAGTCAAAGTGAGAGTGAGAGTGAAAGTTGTGTCGCAGAGAAGAGCGTCAGCTGTGCGCAGCGGAAAGGAAAGTAAAACAAGGCAAAGGATAGACCCGGATGGTTGGGGTATTTGGTTTCTGGGCAGGACTTCCACCCAAGTTGGAGGTGCAAAATCAATACGAATGGGAAGCCCAAACATAGGCTGCAATGCGGCACGCGCTGCCTCCGGGTCTTATCGGCATGTCAAAGGATGTGGATGGGGGTGGGAGGGAAAGTCCTTTGGCCAAGGCAGAAATCCCAATTCAATGGCCCGACTAAAGCAGTGTCAATAGTGGGAGTCTTGGCATTTTAAATTCCCAACCGAAGTAGGGGTTAGTTGCGTGTAAATTTGTTTGCCTGCCATAGCTGTATATGTATTTGCCAGCTGGATATTTATGATTTCGGTTTCGTATTGCCATCGATGTGCGTCAGACACGCTATGTTAGAAGTCTCAGAAAGTTAATTAAGCTACCAGGCGACACAATGAGAAATTGGTTGGGATATACACAAAGAATCATCCACCACCCACTTCAAGTATGTAGGTCAGTACACGATGGAAAATCAATAGCGGTTTTTTAAATATTCAAGGGCCCCAAAGCATAAATAATAAGCAAATCAAAACAAACACAACGTTGGATAATGTTTTTTGGTTTTTCTTTCGTTTTTGGAAAATTGACTTCTCCTTCGTTTAGGTGTATTTAACGCTAATAAAAACAAAACAAAGGAACTACAAACTAAATTAAAACGACAACTAATAAGAAACGAAATCTCCTGCCAGGTTAAAGCTTCAGTGGCGACCCGAGGTTTGTTCTATATACGCACTATATCTATACAACTATATCTAGGTATAACTCTATATATATATATGTATATGCGTGTTTGTGCATTGGCGTTTCCACATTGCGATAGAAAACGCGGACAACACGAGGATTGTTCTTTAATTGCTAATAGTTTCTCTATGTATATGTGTTGTGGTTTTTTTTAGTTTTGACTTTTCACTAGAACTAGTGTGCATATTTGCCTAGCTTAAAGTTGCTTTTTCTTTTAACTTTCCTATAGGGTTTTCCTTTTCTCTTTTTTGTACCTTCAGCGCTCGAATTTCAGTTTTCAATTTTGCTACTTTTCGTTCACAAATTTTGACAATTTACATGGGTTTTGCTTGTGCTTCTTCGTGGTTTTTTTTAAACACAACAACAAAAAGGCCAAAAATGAACTCGAAAACAAACGCTTCCTGTCTTTGAATCATATCTTTTATATCCGTATTCCTGCACTGCTGCTGCTGCTGCTGCTTTTTGCTCAGTCAAAGCTTACACATCTAACAAATTGCTCGAATAAGTTAACAGAAATCATAGGGATAAGGTCTAGAAAATAAACCTGATGGATGCCGGTAACTCAAACAACAAAAGCAAATGCTATCACAGTAAAAAACTTAAAGTTGCCGTATTTGAATTTATATAGTTTACAATTTTATTGCAATCGTTCTCTGATTCGCATTCCTTCCACTCATCATCTTCTACATCGCTAAAAAACTACGTCCGGAGTGTGCGTCTGCGATCCGCTGTGATGATTCTCTTCTACGGCGCGGTGATCACTCGCTATAACTACTCGAATAGTATAATCCTATCGCTCCTCGTTTATGTACAACAGAATTTGCTCAACAGAACAGAAGATTTTTAACAACTCGCTTAGGCGTACGGCTTATGGCTTAGGGTCTGTAACTTAAAAAGGAATCAACAAATCGCGCCAAGCTACAATTTAATATTATCGATCATCAATCGCTCTGGTTTGCTTCGGATTGGATTGGATCGGTTCGGTTAGCACTATTTTAAATAGTCTACAAATTTATAATTTTAAAGTCCACGCTGCAGCTGCAACTGCAGCTCTCTTACACATCTAGACTAGAGCTATCCGCTATATCATATATATCTAACGACTAAGGTCTAGGGACTACAAAAACGGACTAAAACTAGGCCCGCCTTCCTCACGCAGCGGGAGGAGGTTGCTTTGTTGGTTACAGTTTACAGTTTACAATTTAGCTCTTGCAGTGGTAGTCGTATTTTCTAGTTTTTAGCAATATAAAATCGATCCATTTACAAAGACAAATTGTAGAAATGGGCTTGTCCATTCGCTTAGCCTAACAATCCTTGGGTTTTTTAATCATAGCCGGCTGTGGGTGCTTCCATTAGCTAATTGAGAGGCGGGTAAAGGTCTCTAATCGATGGATTCTAGACCTTGGCCAGCTGCTTCTTTGGCCGCATGGGCACAATGCAGTAACCGGCACTTACATCGCGTCCGCTGACCAGCAGGTTCTTCAGGACCGAGTTGGACTGCTGTTGCTGCTGCTTTTGCTGCTTGCTCTCCGCGGACTGCGACCAGCGTTCACTGGCTGCTCGCTTGGCTGCTTGGGTTTGCTGCTGGGCCTGATCCTTGCCAATCAACTGCTGCAGGAGCTGCGGCGACTGCACATCCAGGCAGATGGTGCCGCTCTTCAGGCGCTTCGATTCCACGGGGTTTCCTGCCCCTGTCGCGCTGTTCAGGTGTCGCTTGTTTCCATGTTGCTGCTGCTGGGGCTGGACGAGGTTCACCTTGGCCACACGCTGCTGCGTCGCGGTGAGTGGCTTGCTCTCCACCAGGCGAATGGTGGCCTTGGTGGTCACCGGCGCAATGCCGGCTCCATTCAGGATCTTCAAAGCCGGCTGCTGCAGCTGCTCCTGCTGCTGTTGCATTAATCCCTTGTTATTCTGAATGGTAATCAATGGCACTGCATTCAAGATGATGTTTTGCTGCTGCTGTTGCAATTGCTGCTGTTGCTGGAGCAACTGAATGGTGGTCACCTTGCAAGGAGCAGGTGATGAGGCTGAAGGACTCACGGGAGCCGCATCGGCCACGTGCATCTGCAGCAGGTCCCAGCAATCCAGATTTGTGGCTAAAATAAAAGCAATTCCAAATAAAGTTATTACAAAATTAAGAAAGTTTTCAAAGAAAATTGCAGTATAATCCTCAAATTTATTGAACCGAATGCCAGCCAAAAATTAATTCCTTTGCCCATGACATTGGTGCTAATTTAAAACAATAATATTTGGCTGCCACAAACATTTTGCACATAAATAAGTGGCCACATTCTATACAATATATCTATCTGTATTTCTGCCAGTCTTTGTCTCTGAATCTTTGTATCTATACATTAAACAGCTAATATCTACAGTTTGTTTCATTTTCTTTCGCCTGGTGTGTGCGACATAAATCATCCGCTATTAGCTAGTGGAAAATTCATAAAGGCCTATAGGCGTCTGTCAATAGATACCCCCGATTTACTGCCTGTCATAAGGCCCAGCACTTGAAGTCAATACAATTGACAGGGCCAGGAGGTGGTGTCACCGATTCCACCACTTTCTGGGCATCAATCACAGACCTCGTGCCGTGACATGTGTCAAAGGTGAGAGAGCAATGTGTGAAAATTACGCAAATCGCTTACAAGCCACTGGAAACGAGCCGTAGACCCACATCAATTAGCTCTCCCGCAGTACTCCCCTAAACATAAAAAAAAGCCCAACCCAAAACCAAGTGACATCTTCCGCGACACGCAACAAAAAATTCCGAAATTTTCTTTATATTTCCCTCTATTTTTACATGTAGGCGTTGGAGTGCGTGCGTGTGCGTTGGCAGCATATCATAAAAAATAAAGCAAGTTTCCACGGATATTTTTAGCCGAGGAACTGCCATAAAATTAGGCCTCTCCAAATGCAGGAGGCGACATTGTGGAATATTTCAAAAGCCACTGTGGAATGGAAAGTCCCGTCAGCTCCGTTAAATCTATCAAAAGTCTCTTTCTATTAAAAAACCAAAGTGTCGTAAAATTTCCACTCCGTAATTAACTATCAATTACTCAAATATTTTTAGTTCTTTTTGTGTGCCGGCTATTTTTCCTTACTTACTTTCTTTTTCTGCAATCGTAATAAAAGTTGTATTAATTAAGTTTAGCTATTTATTCACTTATATATTTAAACCCCTCCCACATTTAAATCATCCTTTTAATTTTCCATAATTTATGTTGATCTGAAAGACTTTGAGCAGATTTATATAATAGTCTCTTTAATTATTTGCTGTTAAAAAAAATGTTCTCTACCGCCACTTTTAAGATAAGTATTTATCAAATCATTCACTAATTTAAACATTTAATAACCCCTTACTTTGTTTGTTATTCCTAAAATTAGTTTATCCCAAACTAAACTGCATATTTGAACACCAATGTTTGCCTTATGATACTTACAGTCCTTGCTGTAGTCATTCTCGAATGCATCCTCCATTGGATGACATAAACTTGCTCCCATTTGCACATCGTACTTCTCCTTTTTGCACTCGATGCTGAGGCTGAGCAACTGCTGCTGCTGCTGCTGTTGCTGACGTTGTTGCTGCTCCTCCTGCAACTGCAACTCCTGCTGCAACTGCTGGAAAGTCCTGAACTCGTTGCCACCCTGCTGCTGTTGCTGCTGTTGATGTTGCTGGAGTCGCTCGTTGCACTCCTCCGCCACGGTTACACCACTTCCTCCCAGGATCGAAAGGGTTCCATTTCCGGATCCGCATAGCAATGCTGCCAGTTCGCTGGAATCGCTGGTAAAGACCGCCGCCTGTTGCTGCTGATGTTGCTGCTGCACTGGCGATGGCGACAATGAAGAGACCGTTGAAGCAGGCGATGAGCACAGGGAGTTGGAGAAATGCTGCTGCTGGTGTTGCTGCTGCTGTTGCTGGTAACCAGTATTGTTTGCGTACTGCTGGTGATGTTGCTGCTGTAGCTGCTGCAACTGCTGTTGCATGGCATCGATTTCCTTGGGCACCATGGTCTGCAGATCCTCTGGTGGACACCACATGAGATCCGTCTCCGTTAGCAGGGGCATATCATCGCCAATCGGGATGTAGGGAGCACGCATTGCAAAGTCCTCGAAGGAGAACTCATCTTCCTGGGTCAGCGAATTGGGACTGCACAACGAAGGCAGACTGCTGTCCTCGGGACTCTGTTATATAAAAAGGTAAACATTAGTTATTAAAGGTACTTTAAGTCAAGAAGATCTACGAATTGCATACCTTTGATGTTATGCTGGGCGAGTGCAGGTGCTGGGAGCAACTTGTGTCGTTTGACTCCTCGCGGTAGTTGAACAGAGGATCAATATTGCTGCTGCTATTGCTGTTGTCGTGGTGCTGAGGGTGATGTTGCTGCTGCTGGTGTTGCTGGTTGTGTTGTTGCTGCTGCTGCTGCTGGTTGTGTTGCTGCTGCTGCTGGTGTTGCTGCTGATGACTGGGATTGCTGGCAGTTGCCGTGGGAGTGGGTGTGAGCGGGCTGAGCGGACTGTTGGCATAGCTATTGCTACTGCTACTGGTGTTGCTAGTGGCAGAGTTGCTGCTGCTGCTGGGACTCTGGTAGTGCTGGCCACTGGCCGTCGTGGAGCAGGTGGTCGAGTCCAGGGAGTTGATGTCCTCGGGCGACAGACAGGAGCCCATGAGGCCAACCAGTAAGTCGCTGAATGGAGTCATCTCGTCCAGCCGAATGCAGTTGGTGGAGGCCAGGTGGTGGGACAGATCGTCGGGTTCCTCTTTAAGCACTGAAACGGAATCGAAAAAGATGCAGTTAGTGGCGGTTTCACCTAGTTCGCGGTAGAGTGCTACATCTCAATTCGGTTTTGCCTACTGTTAATTAACTCTGCTCTGAATAAAACCCTTGGCTTGTGCTGCCGAAATTTCAATTATCGCTCGCCGTAGTCGCCCCTAATTGACAGCTCTCAATTGAATCTAATTGAAGAGAACTTGCTCCTCCCCTCGTGAATTAGTCGCTCCAATTGCCTTCGCACTGGAATCGAACCAGAACTATGATTTTTATGGCCGGTCGACTCATTAATCAGCATTTTGGGCCTATTGACGTACGCGGAATAAGTGCAAGCGAAGCAGGCGAAAAACAAACATTCCTGAAACAGGAACTCGATATCACAAAGATCGCTATGATCGCTGAAATACGCTATTTTTACGGAATTAAATAGCTATCGGGTGCATCGCCCCAGATCAGGTGCAAGGCTGCTTATCAGCCGAGGTCTTGAACCAGGGGTGATCTTCCTGGGAGATTGGGCTGTGCGTCATCTGAGCCCACTCAGAAATTCCTAAACATCGAGCCGAGCCTCAGTTATCATCCCATTCCAACCCGATTCTCGTCATGGGGTTCGCTATACTAGATGGTATGCTAATAAAACTGGTCCCAACCGCCTGTGTGTGCCGACTATTAAGTTGCAAAATGGAAATGAAAAGCTAACTAAAACAACGGAGACCGCAGGCCAAATAGAATTTCAAATGCAAGTCCAAGTTCGTGATGTGAGTGTGAGTGCAGTGTTTGCCTTTGGCTCAGCTGCTTATTTCTATCAAAGAGCCATATATAATACGGACAAATCCCAACTGCGGCATCTGCCACCGGGCAGCCATATAAGCCACAATATAGTAAGCAGATTGCCTGGAATGGGTTCGCAGCTCTTCAGCAGCCCACACTTGGATTAGCTAATGCATTTTGCACGGAGAAAAAAGTCTCATATCAATTACATAAAAAAGGGGGTTTCTCTTGTTTCACATTAATAATATCCTAATCTCAATATTTTTTATGGCTGGAACAGCTTAGGAAGTTCGTTCTGCTAAATAAGGATTTTATAGTTTTGCCTAGATATAATTTTAATTTAAACAAAGGTATTTTTGTATACTAAATAAAAGCCATTTTATGAACAATTAAGGGTATAATTTTTCTCCGTGCGGAACATATTCCAATGCCATTTTCATGGCAGAAACAATAAAGATCAGATTAGCGGTGTGTAAGGGATTTGCACAGCTTGAAGCTAGAGCTCCCCTGGCATCTGCTTGCTCTTGCGGTCGTTGCATTCGACACAAACAAGTTAATTAACAATGCACGCCCAAAGGTCTAACCCCCGCAGACCCCGCCCCTTCTCCCTGGAGGCACCAACCCGGCAGTGTGACTTGTAATTATGGCACTCGAGTGCTACTCGTCGTTGCCAAAGCTTTTGCGGAAAAAACAACAGAAATTATGGCGCATGATAATACAACACACACAGAACGGAAAACAGAGCCTTCCACTCAGTGCCCATTGGGGGTCTATCTATATCGGAATCGAGGAGTGCATTTTATGAGATGTTTGCAAAGTGCTTCTATATATTACAGCTCATCGAATGTGTTGTTTTTCGCCAAAGTGCAAGGCCGGGAATGGCATTTAGCGGCTAACTGGCTAACTGGGCCTACGCGCAAGGCTAGGAGAACAGAGCAGCTGTAGCCGAGGCTTGACCATCACCCAGTGATCCAGTCACCTAGTCATCGAGTCACCCGGTCAATAAGTAACCCAGTCACACAGAAAAAAATATTACATTGTGGACCGATTAAAGGTTTTCTCATTGAACAGAAATGTCATTGAAAAGCAATCACAACAACTACAAATTACAGAACAATAGGAAACCTTTAGATTCTTAAAATATTGACGAATCATTACGAATCATCATGACACCCCATTACAAAGTGCCTTAAATGGCTTAAGAACTCAGAACTATGAAGATATATATATTCTTAAGTAGTTTTCTAATAATTTTTCGATGTTTAAATGGTATTTCTGCATGTATCTTAAACAGAACCCAATATTTTCGCCTGTGCAACCGATGAGAGGTTGGTCGTGAGACACTTGTGAAAGGCATCTCTGCACTTGAGCCACATTCGGTGCACTTGAGTTTTATTCGAAAGTTTTCAAGGGAACAGGTTGCCGCATTAGCACACACACCGAAAATTCGTGCTCAACGCGTGACTGGGAGGAATCTTCGGGGCAGTTGGAGAACCCGGGCGCAAAACGGCTTCAATTTAAATAAATTTATGTCATCATCTGCAATTGAAGACGGCGACTCGTGATGTGACGTAGTTCCAAATCAGAATCGGAATATGTAAACAACGGACACGGTCACTTAAGAACCCGCAGAGATCAGAAGACGGAGACAAAACGGGGACAGGGCGTGATGCCGAAGCTATAGAGTTTTATGTAAGAGCCCGAAAATATTGACGATTTACACAGCAGCCTCAGACTTCGAATCGGACTTGAACTCATCATATCAGCTGTGAACCTGAACTCGGGTGATTAGAGCAGAGAATCCAAGCCAACCGTCTGTTTTTTATTCATTATTTGCGCTTCTGGTCGTGATGGGCGTGCTTATCACGCGTGCTAATCACGATAGAAGTGCGTTGTCCACATTCCCCTTCGAACTCGATTTCGATTCATAGCATAATTGCCCAGCCACTGACTATGCACCAATAAATGTATCGGTCCAAGTGCCCAATTGATATTTATGGCCAAGAGTGTTCCCTGTTATCGTTACAAATATTTGCTTTTGTAGATTGTGTGTGGATAACAGCATAAGGTAATTACAGTTGGGAATTTGTTTTTGTTTGTCAACGGGTTACTTTTGTTTGGCCATCAAGAAGAAACCTCTTTTCCCGCACCACCAGCCCCCCTCTGATTATCTGTATCTGTGGTGTAACGCCTTGAAAATGCGAGTATCTGGACAGCCGGCAATCGAAGCGATCGAGTGTTACAACTAACTGATTAGGCTGATGGAATGGAATATTTGAGGTGTTTGGAAAAATACCAAAACAACAGCGGTGACAAGAATTACATAAAAACACTGGCTATACTCATCGCCTTCCCCTTAAGGCAAACCGATTTGAGACGAAAATAAAGCCGAGGCGTTTCCCTGTTTATTTACGTTCCACACAACGAAAATAAATATAGACGACGCAGCGGTGGGAAGAAAGTGAAGTGAAGTAAAGTATCTCTAACTGAGTCCGCAGGCACGGCAAAATGTCAACATAAAGGGGCCGAAACTAAACGAAAACGAAAGCGATTAGAGGCTGCAGGTCCCCTTGAGTGTCGAAAATACTCTAGAAATTTGGAGGGGTGGATGGTTTTGGAGAGGGGCACAACAAGCGACATATGCGAGACAGCACCGCTTGATCCATCGCCGGACCTTGGCACACGCGCCAAAAATTCAGCTCTCTTCTCCCCCGTTTTCACTCTTTTTTAGTCCCTCCTCCCCCCGATGACAGCCACATCGCTTAGCATATTAATTGGCTCAAGTTAATATTCATATTTCTGTTTTTGTCACCAGGCGGCAGAAGCCTGCCAGCAAACGATAAAAAAAAAGCGGAAAAATTCACTCGATGTCGGAAAAAAATAAAGCATTTGAGATACACAACTAGTCACATAGAGAAAGAAAAAGAGTGGGCCAAGCAATCAGTGACGATTTTCCAAAACAATTTAATCATATGATTTCTAGTGAAAAATACAAGAAGAAAAATATATCTAGTATATATCCATAAACAAAAATTATTATTACTTTGTTTATAGGTTCTATGAAAGGAAAATATTGACTTACTATAAAGAGCTATAAAATCCACTTCCCTAAATGACAAACATTAAACCATTAAGGCAACACTATAACTTTTCTTAATAAATTACTCATTGCTAGTTTAGAATTTAAATAAACCCTACTATATATAACCACAGTCAGCAATTAAATGTATTTCTAATTTCTACAGTTCGATGTAACACCTTGCGTATACACAATAATTAAAAATTTAGAACGATCCCATTGATTACCTAAGTAACCCACTTTACAATGTCATATATTGACCAATTCCATAACCGCGATCTTTACTCAAAAACAACACCCAACACCGACAAACTCTAATCTTTCAATAAACGATCCCCCGGGGCTCCATGTGCACTACCCTGCGTATGCGTAATGCCGGCAAATGTGACATAAGAGCCGGGCACTTGCATCGGCAACCGGCTTGCGGTTAAGTACGAATGGGAATCCGCCCCCCTACCCAGACCCTGACCATATATATAATGTACCATATAGCCCTCCATATATGACAGTGCTCTTATATACCCATATAGTATGCACTTATCAGGCGAGCGAACTGAACATTGTTTACTAATGCACTTTTTCAACGGCGGGTTGGCGGGGCATTTGTTGGTTCTTGCTGTTGTTGTCTTTACAAATAAATAGTTTTATTTGCGCAAATTGCGGCCACAGATAAGCAAGCCAAACGACGATCGTCAGAATGACTGACCATCTAGCTGACTGAATGATTGCCAGATTGCCTGACAGACAGACCGTCCGACTGAGTGACTGACTGACCAATCAAATCGCACAATGCGTCAAATCACATCAAATAGCGCGCGTCACTAAGTTCCCTGCCCCTTGTTGTTGCCTATTTGTCCATAGAATTTATAAATAAGCCAACCGGAATGCATTTGTATAAGTTGGCGCTGTTTTGTCGCTGAAAAACGTTGACTTTAGCCTTGAACGCAGAACACCACACCTGATGCACTTTACAAGCACAAAAAGAAAACTATTCCAAAGCGATTCGCGAATCTTTCCTGTTTTTGTATTATTATATTCTACACTTATCAGCTGATTAAACTATACCTTCCCTAACAACCGAATTGATTCATATAGCTAAAAGGGTGCAACAGAAATCTCTATCAATCAAAATGCTAATTGTGCTATAGCGGTAATCTTTGTTAATTAATTATAAAACCTTTGGATTAGATTGTAATGTATACTCTTCTTGATAATGATATAAGAGCTAGAGCTTTAGAGTAAGATCCTAAAAAGTAAAGAATTTCCAATGAAATATCGTTACAGTTAGGATATCTTTATGATATTTAAAACCAAGTGATTGGCAGAGATTTCAGTAACACCCTGTTAGTAATCAGGAACATAATGTTATAGCTTTTTCTACTTACTTGTCGTCAGACTTCTTCCATCATCGAACAGCGAACAGAATCCTTTATTCATGTCTTGAGCTGGTTGTTGGATCTGCTGTTGCTGGTTGCTCGAGGAGATTATGGCTGCCGTGGTGGTGGTTGTGGGCGGCAGTGTGGGCTCCAGGCTGAGCGGTGTCTTCTTGCAGAGGACCGCCGGCGGTGGGGTCAAGGGTGGAGCGGAACTCGGGCGGAAGACCGAAGCGGTCACCGACTTGGGACGCTTCTCCTCGGGACGCAGACCACCGCTGTTGCCGCTGAGCAGCTGGGCGGTAATGGTACGCGGTCCTGGCGAGTGGTTCTCCCGCTTGATCAGCAGCTCCGTTTGGAGGATCTGCTTGAAGGGATTGTTCTCGGGAAGTTGTTTTATGTGATCAGCCGTAGAAGTTGCAGTTACTACTGGTGGGTTTGTTGCAGTTGCAGTTGCAGTTATTTTGGTTTCTGGTAGTTCTAAAGGTATTTCCTTGTTAATTTTCTCTGTTTCCTTGCACTCAATTGCCTGCGGTTTATCCTCGATCTCTATTGGAGTAGGCTGGTTTCCTGTTTCCTTGGATTCCTGAAGGACGACTTCGGGACTTGCTGCTTTTTCAGGCTCCTCCTCGGTTTCAGCTGGTCGGTGTTCCTTTTGCTCACTTGCTGCCGTTTGTTGAGCGAGTGAGTATATCTCATGTTTATTCTCAAGATTACTGCAAGATGAAGATGCACAAAACGCGTTTCGAATTGGTTTAATTGAAATGCTTTTTTCGGTAACTTATTCGCGTTGCACTCGTTTGTTACACCACGGCGAGAAAAGCGATTCGCGATTTCGTTTGAAAGTAAGTGAGCATAACAATTGCATTGTATCTCACAAATAATGCAAATAATCAGCTGCCACAACTGCTTGGCACTTGTTCTGGGTTAGTAAATACTAATTAACCAGACTTAATTAACTCTACGGGTCCCCTAATGAGCCGAATTGAGCCGGAATTTCCTGAGTACAACTAGCAGATTTCACATCGTATGAGTATACGTAACAGAAAACGATTTCGTTTTATACAAAGGGGTAATTTTAGTCACTTATCACAAGCTGTATTTGATAAGAATGTTCACCTGTTTGTCTGCTTTCTGATTTTACTAACGGTTTTAAAGATAATATTCTTTTATTAAATGCAAAATTATCGTATTTACCAGCTACTCTTTTTTTCATAATTATTCATCAACCAATATATAAATATCAAATAACAATATTCTGTGCACATTTATGACAGGTAAAAGTCCGTAAATTGTTGGGTCAAACGTGATCACCGACCATTCCTATTCCGAATTAGCTACTTCTGGGCGGTTTCCTAGATTTCGCAATTGCCATGGAAAATTTTCGCCCGCCGATAAGTCACGTTTCCCCAATGCCAGACCGATGTTCGAGAATCACCGCCTATGCCTTATCAATTATCCAAGCAAAATCAAACGACGGCTGGGCATAGCTCATGTATTCGCTTAGTCGTGATAGATAGCACGGAACTAGGTGGGTGTGTCCGGCGACAAGGCAAAGTGACAAGAACAACAGCGAGACCAGACCCAGATTGATAAGCCGGGAGGTGTAATCAGTAATCCGATGGAACCCAGACCCAAAATCTTAAGAGAAACCCAGCAACTGGTGCAGGAACTTTTCAGCTCTCCTCCGATAAGATATAGCATTCGAGCGATCGGCCGACTCAGCCCGAAATGATCTGCGGGCGCGGCGTCTCCGGCCGGACTGCTACGCTTTACGGCCTTAAACGCCCGTAAACGACTGTGCATGCACGGAGTGGCTGAGAGTCAGACGGAAAGCGCGTGAAGCCCCCGTGGGGCCCCCGTGAAACCCCCGTGGAATGCGTGCTGCGACTGATCTGGCGATAAAGGCGCCATCGCACGATAGCAGCGCTATATTTGTGCCCAGAACATGATTTGGCGGAATATCACCGACGCCAGCGCCAAAACAAACAGCCGAGTATTATTAATAATTTCCAGTGGTAGAAAAATCAACAACAACAAGCTTTTTGGGGGCTCGTCCCTCTGGTGAAATAGTAGAAATACGTCGGTTGAGAAGTAGTTATGGGGGCAGCTCGACATTGAAGTGAAGGGTCTTCACTGGACAATCAAAGATCTACGTCTCTTTTAAAGGTGACCAGCCCACTTTTGAGCGGAAAGGGGCTCAATGTCACACGAAATTTCGGTTACATAATAGGCCCCTTCGATTGATTAAGACGATTGAGAAATATACGCAGAATATACGCCCATGGAATACACACCCACCTGGCCAGACAGGCACACACCGTAATACCGGAAGGCACTGAGTGGACAACAAAAGATACAACCCCCCAACCGATACAGATATAGGTTGTATCTACACAGCGAACTACTGCTACACTTAAATAATTGCTTCATCTTCATTGTTGAGCTCGCCAATTGTTGGGGCCGCCTGTCGTCTGACACGGGCCAGTTGCAACCAGTTAGAACCGGCGATCGTTACCGGTGGTGATTAGGTTCAGGCCCCCGAAATGAAGGAGGCTTACATCACATTATTAATTAAAAGACCCCAAAAATACCGAAGTAAATACATACAGCTACAGCTGAAATGATAGACCTAACAATGCTACTTTTGAATTGGAGAGAGGTCATTATAAACCAGTTGAATCGAGGCTATTTTCGGACTTTTTATTGGAATAATATATATATTGGGGTGGCTCTAAAAAAAAATAAGATTAAGGTAGCTAGAGGTAATCAGTGGGATCTTATAAATGAACTAGCAAGCGAAGTGTTTAAAATACAATTCTAAAACTTAGAGCTTCTATCATTTTAATGCCTAGAAGTGTTTTCTATGCATTTGAGTTTCCAAGCTATGTACGATGATATATCACTGCCATTATTTTTCGATTATCTCAATTATTATTATTACAATCTATTACTCATGTCTTAGTTAAACAAAATGAAACAATTTTTAATTGCATAATTAATGTACAACAAATAACAACTATCTAACTTAGCTGATTTCAACATTTTTAAACTGAATCTTTCATAGAATGGTTATTATACAACTGATTTTTAGATTATTTCACTGAGCTTCTTATGGGGAAAGTTTGTTATACACCAGAATACTTGAACTTGGGTTAATGTGCTATTATTACGACCGCTGCTGTGTGTAACAGGCACTGGCAACAAACACTCCAGGCTATTGAAGTGCTGATGAGTTGATGAAATGTTCGAGAACGCCTGCAGCGACTGATAAGAGATACAGATAGAAACTGCACCCGCGATCTTTCCTCCCAACTCTTGAACTGTGCAATTCGAGTGGAATGTGGAACGTGAAACGCGGATTGCGAATTGCGAATCTTCGAGTGTTCTGATGGATTTGGAGTGCGAGACTTCGAAGTGCGAAGTCAGCAGCGCTGCTCGATCGCCTGATGTTTTGCCGCGCCCCTTTTCCCCACGATTTTCGCAAATGCACAAATTAATTACCCAGCGCAACTAAACAAGCTTCAGTTGAGCAAAAAATAAAACAAATAAAGCGTAACAATGGCAAAGAGAACTATTTAACCGGTTCTCGTTTACGATTTCGTAAAATTTAGGAGGAATTATAGACAATTTTTCGTTATCAATGTTCATAGTATAGAAATGGGAAATACTGATCCTGTATATGGCTCTATTCTGATTACTTCCTTTTGAAACATGGTTTTATGACTTTCGATTGGATTTTGGGGATTGCAAAATTTCTTTATTCGAGTTTTGATGCAACCAAACACATTTTCTTATTGTGTAACAAATTGCGTCGAGAAACGAAAAACAGGGGAAGAGATACAAGAAATCGGCGACCATAAAAAGAGAGGAACAAAACAAGCGGACGACAACAAACACAAATTGTCTGAAAAGCGAGAGGCTGTATAATTGCTCTCCATTTTTGCCCCTCTTTCAATTGCAGGGCAATAACGGGTATCCCCTGCCCCGCCCCCTTCTCTTTATCAGACCCCTAAAAAAGCAGTAATTGCCTACTTTTGAGTGTGTCTGTGCAGTAAATTGAATGAACGAAAAAGACAGTAAAAAAGAGATCAGAAGAGGGAGAATTGAGAATTGTAATTTATGTTTACTGAGAGTTGTGTAATCGATTGCACAAAAATACATATATCTCTTTAATTACACGCACTCTTGGCCATAAAATAGCGTATTAAAATTTAATAAACAAATGCAAAAGCTTGGCAAATTTATGTAATGCAAATTTGCAATTGCAATGTGGCGAACAGCGAGGCGAAGAAAGAGAGCAAAGAGAGCAACTCTTTCTTTTCTTTTCTTTTCTTTCCTTTTTTTTTTGGACAATGCACGCAGATTGCAATTTGTTGCAGTCGACGTCGCAGTCGCAGCGCAGCAGCTGAGTATTTTACAGGTTAGGACCGAGTGTTGTGTAAAACTTTGTCTCTTTTAAGATTACTTTTTGATTTTGATTTTAATTTTTATTTTATCATCATTTATTAATTTTTGACCGCTTTTCTCCTTTTCGCGTGTAACAAACATTTGCACACTTTTCTAATGAGATTCTGGTTTTATTGGTGGTTGTTATAAGCTAATTTTCTTTTTTAATTTTTATTTTTGTACTGGACCGTTTCGGATTTTGATAATCGCTCACACACACAGGCAGCGGCTGATTAAAATAGCAATTATATGTTTTTTTAATATATAGTCCTCCGCTTGTGTGTGTGATTAAGTTTATTTTTGTCAATTTTTTTTTGTTTTTCTTTTTTGCTTGTTTTACTTTTTTTTTGCTGACTTTTTATTATTTTTCACGAGGTTCACTAGGTATAAAAAAACTTTAGGCTTTTTATGTAATTTATTAACTTTTTTAAGGGGTTTCTATTTTTGTTGATCTTTTACCTTTTGAACGTTACTTGTTCAGCGCTTTTTCATTGGTTTTTTGAGTAGTTGTATTTAAATATTTACAGTTCCGTTTTGACTTTATTAGTTAGTATATTTCTTTGAGCTTATATTAAGCATTTTGTTTAACTTTTTTCGCACTTCGACTCAACTCGACGGCAGCTGGCGAAGTAAAACAAAACGTCAATCGGCGATTGTTTTTAAGCACGACGCGGCGATCGGAGAGGTGCGAACGAGATAGCAACGGCGGCGGCGGCAGAGTTTAGTTAATAGTTTTTTTTTTTTTTACTTTAGTGCGCCTCTCTGTTTTTTCGGTTCAAGTTTTAATTTTAATTTTTTTCAGGGAGCAGTGCACGGAAAAAGTGAAGTGAGCGCTGCGAAATTTGAGAGACGAATGAGTGGAAATTCGACGGCGATGGCTTTTTTCATAGCGGCAGCGACGCCAAAAAAAAAGAGAGCTACAATCCGACAGAGAATCCAATTCTGAGTGGGGAGAGCAACGCCGGCGCACTGCGATTTGAGTTGTTTCCGCTCGAAAGTACTCGTTCTATAAGGTATTTTTGAGTGAAAAGGGGGAGCTGAAATATTTCTCTCATATTCACTAGCGATTTATTATTGTTTTTATTCCAAACAAATCAGCTGAGCGCTGCAAAAACCCTCTCACTCTCCCTTTTCTCCCCGAAATAGTTTGGGTGCAAAGAAAAATACCTTTTCTACAGCTAATCTTTTTTTTTTCTCAACCAAAACTAGCAATTACTCGTTGAACCCCAAATATCAGCTGATAGCCCTGATAACGTTGAATCTAGTT